TTACCAAGTTTGAAAAACACTGGAAGAATCCGTGTTTCTTGTGAAGGCAACCATTATGGGCAGATGAAAGCCGAAGCTACTAATCAATCTAGTGCTTCCTTTCCTTCAAATATCTCCTACCTAGCTAATTTTAGGGCACGTTTCTCCACCACCCGGTTCAGCCAACAAAAAGCCACTTCAAACGTGATTGGAAGAGAAGCAGAAATCCAAGCCCCGCCCACTACGTCATGACGTTAAAGCGTAGTCTCAAGCACGTGAAAATGGCCTATCTGGGCAGCTTGCGCGGATGTTATCTGTGGCCAAGCGGAAAAGGAGGGAGAGCGGAAGTCCCGACCCACCGGATCCTTGTTTGGTATCTGGAAAGGCGCCTCCGCGGCGGAGCCGGCAGTCTCGCGTGTCTTCCTAGGACTCAGGGGCGGGGCCCGCTGGAAGCGATCTGCAGGTGAGCTGTGCCAGGTCTCCCTTTTGGACGCTCCCCGTGGAAGGGAAGGAATGAGCCGGGCGGCGGCGGTGCTGCTGCTGCTGCTGTTGCAGCTCTGAGACAGGAGCGGCCGCCGGGATGGCTTCCGTTGTTCCCATGGGCGTCACTGTACTGTAAGCGTCTCTCGCAGGTGAGGCTGAAGTCGGGCAGCGAGGGCGTCTGGTTGCGAGGGCGAATTCCCACGCGCCCCTGGCTGTGCTTCTCACGGTCCACTACCCCCCCCCCCCACCCTCCCAAAGCCGGATTCTTAGCGCAAAAATTAGGCTTTGTCCATTTGCATTTTGACGTCAGGTGCCTTGACAAAACTGCCTAAGCCCATTTCAAGTGTGCTCTGTGTTGCCTCCTGGTGATGGCGCTGCGGTTTTCTTGGCAAGGTTTTTCCAGAAGTGTTTTGCCTTTGCCTCTTTCCTAGGGCTGAGAGAGACTGACCCAAAAGTCACCCAGCGCCTTTCAGTCTAAGGCGACTAGCGCTCAAAGCTCCTAGTTTCTAACCCGATGCCTTAAAACTGCCATTCATGAACCACAAACTAGCTGTCCATATATTACCAGTCTTGTATATTGTGTGAACCAGCCTCTGGTTAGCTTTTGTTTTAGCATATTGTGCAAAATGAGAGAATGGGGCCAGTTAAGTAACCAAGAAGGTGTTGTGAATATACAGCTTTTTTTATTAAAAGTGGCTGAAAATTGCTCCACAAGGAGTGAAGGCCTCTTCCTTACCTGCTTTGTTGTGAGAAAGAGGGGGTTGTGGGAATGCAAACAGGAAAAAAATGTAAGAAAGCTATAGGTCAGTAGTTCCTAAGTGGTGTGGGGACCCTGGGGGGGGGGGGCAAGATCCTTTCAGAGGATCTGCAAAGTCAAATAAATAGTTTAAACTTTCTCAGTTTTAATTTCTAATACAATAAAGATCAATCGATGTAACCCACATAAATCAAAGCTCTTTGAGGTCATTTCTAAGAATGTAAAAGAGATCCCAAACCGAAAATTTGAGAACCACTCTAGGTAAAGGTGGATGGGAAAGTCTTATATCTTGAGTGAATAGCATCAGCCTACTCCTCTGAATTACCCTTGGATATTAATGGTCACTGGCAAGAGCTACTGGAATTTTCTGAAGCTATTGTGGTACATTGTTTTTCTAGTCAAAGAAGTTAGAGAAGAACCTCAGAAACTGATAATTCTTCTGACCTAGGCTTCCTAAGTCATTAAAACACACGAGTAGTCCCAAAAACCTCTTCTATTGCAACAGCTGTGAATTCTGTTCATTCACAGATGAATCCCAATTAATTATAAAGAGTCCTTCAGGAGAAATCCTTCGGGATAATCACCCACATTTATCTCCCTTGACAATCTGCCAAAGGCCACACGGAGTCCAGAATCAAACAAAGCTTCAGGCTTTAAGTTGAACCGAATGAACAAACATTGCTTCCTGCAAAGGCCCACATGCCTTTGCTCCTCTTTTAAGTCTTATGGGAGGGGACAATCATCTCCCAGCCCTACTCCTGAGTTGTCCCTTTTGTTTTAGCTATTCTTGCCTTCTCGCAGCTCTGCGCATGCGCACACTGGGAACAGGCTCCTCCTGTTCCTCTGCCTCGCTGAGGTCCGGCTCTGGAGGCTCCAGAGGCAACATGTACCTCCCAGATGGTCCTTTCTCTGCCTCCGACGCAGAGCCCTTGTCCAAGCCTTCCCCAGACTCCAGGACTGGCCCATGGTCCTCCCCAGCCTCCTCACTGTCCCGACTCTGCCACCAGCTCTGCAGGCTGCTGGTGGACCACAACAATAATAGCAAAACAGTTTCATATTCTTCACAAGTTAATTACATGGACATATCTATAAAACCATCAGGGCAGAGTTCACCACAAGGAATTACTGTTCAGATTATGTTGTATCTGCAGAGCCCTTGACAATCCCTTCTTGTGTTACATGTACCTATATCATTTCACTCCTGTTGTGGCCCGCCAGCAGCCGGCGCGGATCATGGCTGATCCCGACGACGAGGAGACTGGTGTGGGGTCGTGCCAGCAGCCTGCGCAGCCGGCACTCGTGTCTGACAGCAAGGAGGCTGAAGAGGATGTGGTGCCAGAGGCAGAGACTCAGCCAGGGCCTTCAGAACCTCCAGAGGCTCCTTCAAGTGGACAGAGTGAAGTAGAGGAGCCTCTTCTCAATGCTCGAGCATGCAGGGCTGCCAAAAGGCAGGAGTGGCTACTCAGGAGGAGGAGGTCTCCTTGAGAGTAAGGTTTGAGGATAATTGGCCACTCCCTTAGCCTATTTAAGTCGCACGCTGTTAGTAATTTCTTGCTGGAAACACGTGTAATTATTACAGAGCATTTTGAAGAATGAGTGTCTTATCGTATCTTGTTTTCTGGGCTGGTTGCCAACTTTGTTTATTCTTGGTACGTTATAACTTTGATAAGGACAGTTGGTGTGTCAATCCTTGGGAATCCGGAGCTGGGGCAGAACAACTCCTGCAACTGATATACATTCCAGCAGCAATGGTATCAGGCCTTATGGACTGTTACTTACGTTCCTGATCCATTTTTTCTTTTATTTGAAGATGGGTTAGTCACAGAATAACATTTTCCACTTTCCCTTTTTCATTTGCAGTGTTGAAATTCTTGCCATTTTATTGATCTGGTATGAAATAAATTCACCAAACTCTTTTTGTTCTTTTGCAAAGTAGTTTTATGTAGAAATGCATGCAAGAAATTTCAGTTTCTTAAGACTGTGATTATGAGTATGAGTTGCTTATATTTTTATCTTTATTATAGAGAAGAATGGAGCTCCTTGAAGAAGACCTTACATGTCCCATTTGTTGTGGCTTGTTTGATGATCCACGAGCATTACCTTGTTCACATAACTTCTGTAGAAAATGTTTGGAAGGGATCTTAGAGGGAAATACTCGGAATGTGATGTGGAGACCATCACCTTTTAAATGTCCCACATGTCGAAAGGAAACTACAGTAACAGGTGTTAACAATCTCCAAGTTAACTATTCACTAAAAGGCATTGTGGAAAAGTATAACAAGATTAAAATATCAACAAAAATGCCTGTCTGTAAAGTGCACAGTGGTCAGCCTCTTAATATTTTTTGCCAGACAGACACACAGCTTATATGTGGCATTTGTGCCACTCGAGGAGATCACATAAAACATCTCTTTTGCTCTATTGAGGATGCTTACTGTCAAGAAAAGCGTGCTTTTGAGACACTGTCCCAAGTGTTTGAAGCATGGCATTGTGGAGATGCACTTTCTCGACTAGGAACTTTGGAAACCAGCAAACGAAAAGCTCTCCAGATGTTAACAAAGGATTATGACAGAGTAAAAGATTTTTTTGAGAAATTACAGTATACTTTGGAACAAAAGAAGAATGAGATCCTCTCAGACTTTGAAACCATGAAGCTTGCAGTTATGCAGGCTTATGATCCAGAAATCAACAAACTGAACACTATCATACAAGAACAGGAAACTGCGTTTAATATTGCAGAAACATTTAAGGATGTATCTGAACCCATTTTGTTTTTACAACAGATGCAAGAATTTAGAGAGAAAATCAAAGTGATAAAGGAAACTGGTTTGCCTTGTGTTACCGTAGACATAAAATCTACAATTAAGGATGTTGATACTAATCAGTGGGAACAATTTAAGCTAGCAGATGTGGATAAACTTTCACTACCTCAAGAGAAAAGCTCTTTCAACTGGGTGACAAATTCCTTCCTTTCACCACGTTTTTTTGTAACTGCTTTAATTTGTTTGCTGGTTGTTGTTACTCAAGTATGTGTTACAGATTTTTGGGGCAAAACTTTTCAGTATTGGAAAACTCTTGTTTCTGCATTTGGCACCGGTTATCTGACAGACCCAACAGAGATGGCAGATCATGCTATTTTATACTGGGAAAAAGTAGCAGATAGTGCTGCTGTTCTAAGTGAAAAATGTGTAAATTATATCCATGTGTTGTTGAATAATGTTGCCCAATTTGTGTACATGTATAAACTTTTATAAATCTATTAATGTTCAGGAAGTATATTTTCAAAATCAGTGAGTTTGGTTTTTTTCTTTAAATGTAAACATTTTTGATATTTGAAATGGTCTTGATAATTCATGTATTGAACTATTCTGCAACTCATGTTAAAAGCTGACTACCTTTCTATTTTCTGAAAGCAAAATTACATGACTTGATTTTTTTTTAGAAAATAATGTGTATAGTGGAACATATAAACTTTTTTTATTTATAAAATGTTTGAGTTTCAAATTGGAGTATAAGTTGGAAATATGTTTGCATGGAGATATAATACATAAATAACGATTGTATATTACTACCACAAATCCTGGTCCTTCAGAAATATTAAATTTTGTGATTTGTTATTATATGTGAACATAGGAAGTAACAAATTAACTTTTGTATGTTTATAAGCAACTCAATACAAACTGAAACTGGAACATCTTGGGCTTGCAAATCACAAGTTTTTTTACAACTAACAGTTACAGCAACACAAGCTGTGTAATTTGTCAATGGCCAACTCTATGGAATATTATACAAGTTCATGCTGTTAGGGAGGTATGTGAAAGAGAGTGTTTCAGGAGGGAATCTTGTAGTCAGATGTGGGTCCTGCACAAATAATAGAAAGTTCACTTTGGGCATTATTTACATGGTGGTTGCATTGAGATTACAATGGTCAGGCTTAGCAGATAGACTAGGCAGGACATATAGCCTGGTATGTTAATTCTACTTCATTGTAAAGCTACATTAGGAGAGTCTTGTGAGTCTAAAAGGACAGTCCTCTCACCGTCACTTTTACAGCCTCATAACCTGGGAGGCTGCTCTTCCTGAGTCTCTTGTTCCGTGCTTACTGTGCCCTGTGGGCTGTGCTCACTCTTATTTGACCTTTGCTAGGTAGCATTACTTTGCCCAGTCTCCCAAAGTAATTCCACATACCATTACAACAGTAGAGGTCTTTGCGAACAACTTTAATCAGGACCAACAACTCGGCCTCTAAGTGAATTCATTAAGTGAGAAATCACATGGCTACAACTGTTCTTTCTAGCTGGAAAGAGACTACAGGCAGTCCACTCATTCTGTAATGATTATGACTGGTCCTCAAAGTTCTGGCTGTCCCAAAATCTTCATAATCGTGATCACAATCTGGACACTTGTCAAGTGGCTCATCCGATGGTTGCAGCATCTCATGTTTGCATTTTGCAACCTTACCTCCCAGCTTCCCACAATGGAGAAGCCAGTGGGGAAAGTTGCAAGTTGCTCAGTTAAGTCTACTCACTTGCACACACTCCCCCAGCCCCTCTGCATTCAGCTCTGCCACTTGCACACCCTTCCAAATCCTTGATGCATTCATGCAGCATATTCCCACCCCCACCCACCCCTTAATTCCCCTCTCTTATCCAGCAAGAGCCACTTACCTTCCTGGTTGCAGAGTGCCTGCGACTTGCAACTTCCTGCTGGCTTCCCTGCTTACTTTGTTGAAAGCTGGCAGGAAGTTACAAGGAGGTGTTTGCTTAATGATTCTTCATTTAACAACAGCAATAGGGACTGCAGGGATTGCCATCGCTAAGCAATGCAGTTATGTGGCATGCTTTACAAATGAACTTAATAATGGAACTCAATTGCCATCATAACTACCTATAGTTTGCTTTTGTTTGCTTTCAAGAGTTTAGTGTCTTCTGCAGATGGAAAGCTATGTGATCATAGTGGCAGCCCCAGAATGGGAGTCATAGGCAAACTATAGAAATGGCTTGCAGTATTCCTTTGAAAATTCCTCTTGTTTCTCCAGTGGGGGAAATTATTTTTTTCAGCATTGTCATAACTTTGAATAGTCGCTGATTGAATAGTCCATAAGGATGATCTGTATAAAATGTGTACAAAAGCTAATGATCATGCTTCAAAGCAGGACTTGAGAGGTAGGCAGCTAGAGATGGGTTATAAATCATCCATCGTTGGGGAAAAAGCAAAGCTTAATGCATTTCAACAGGATTATGATTTATTAGAAGAAAAAAATTCCTAAGATCTGTGCTGTGCTGGATCCAGGGGATTTTATTAAGGACAAGGGTGACCAACTAAGTTTGACAATTAAGAGGAGTAGGGAAAGAAAATCTAAAACATTCTCCCCAGAATCAATAGGCAGTAAAATGTTAGCCAGTGGCTTTGCATATTTTAACATATTTATAATGATGATTAATACTACTATGATGTAGTTGAAGGAGAAAAAAAATATGTTTCTTTGCTTTTTAAAAAAGTACTTTTTTAAATGTGTTTGCAGTCTGATAATGAATTATCAGAATTATCAACAAAGTTGTCAGCTAGCTTGGTTAGGAATCTGTTCAATCTCCCACTTGCTGCAGTTTGTCTCCCAGTTGATATCAGGGTAGTTAAAGTCTCCCATTACTACTGTGGTATGTTTCCTACATACGTTTGTTAATTTTTTAGCAAAGAGTTCATCTATTTCTTCTGTTTGGTTGGGTGACCTGTAGTATAGGCCTATATAGCAATGTCATTCTTTTTTCCTTTTGTTGTTTATTGGAATGATGATAAATAATTCAGTAAGAGGGACAAAGTAGAACAGTGAGGGCTAACCTTTTTGCCATCACATACCAAAAGTGGGAGGAGCATGGGGGGGTGTCACGCACGCACGTGTCCACACCCATAATTCAATGCGCCCCACCTCCCCACATGCATGCGCGACCGCCCACTCTCCCTTCCTGCTTTTGGCATGTGATGGCACGGTGGGCCTGGTAGGCCTATTTTGTACCCTCCCCAAGCTCCAGAGGCTTTCTTGGAGCCTGGGGACGGTGAAAACATCCTTCCCCGCCTCTCTAGAGGCCGGAAACAGCCCGTTTCCCAACTTCTAGTGGGCCTGGAAGGCCCGAAAATTAGCTGGCCGGCACGCGCATGTGCCCTGGAGCTGAGCTAGGACAACACTCGCGTGCCCACAGATATGGCTCTGCATGCCACCTGTGGCAAGTGTGCCATAGGTTCACCATCACGGATCTAGAATATTGGTTTAAAGTCAAATAATAAAGTGTTAAAGTAATAATCTATAGTAGCACCATTATTTTTGGTACATAATCTTGTACAATTATGGCTGGTATATTTTAAAAAAAATGAAGTTGAAAAAAGATCCTGAAATGAGCAGCTCAGAGATAGGAGCTGATGAAATTCCATTAGAAATGGTAATTTTTTTTCTACCAATAAGTCAGAAAAAATTACATAACATTTATACAATTCCATATTAATGAAAGATTGTATGCATGTAAAAAACTGAACGCTAATAAATTAAATATAGTGACTGGAAGTTGAAAAAAATCCCACAAGAAAAATAAAAACTAATTTTGTATATTGTATTTTTAACAAGAATACATGTCCATGGTCAATTCCAATTTCAAGACAATTTTATTGTAGTACACTGCAGCAAAAGCAAAAGGGCAGACATCTGTGGCACCTGTCTTCAGCTCCTTAAACTCAATGTTTTTTGCCCTGAAGGATCACAATCCACCTATGGAAAGCAACCATGCAAACTTAGGAAATGATGTAGCTGCTTAATTTTTTCAGACAAGACATAACTAAAATATCACTAGTGTAGTTCATATGTAGTGAATTTCATCAACTGTGATGAACACTACAGTACATAAAATGGTGACTAAACAACCCACAACTTTTTTGCTCATTGTTTCAGAAATATTTCCTTATCTAAACAGAGAAATAGAATGATCACAGCCAGGCAAAAAAGCAGTGGGAGCAGGAGCAACTTCTGACATCCTGCTGATTTCGCCATTGACTTTCCTTGTAGGAAACAGAAATCCATTTTAGAAGTTCTGGTTCCTAGGCATAAGTATACACCACAGCCTCTTTGCTGTTCTGAAAGGCTAGAGATAGACTCATGATTAGAAAGTGAACAGCATCTCCTAAAATTAACTACGAACATCTTAGAAACATGTAAGAGCTGAAACAATTTACCATTGAATTCTTGAAAATAACTATTCCAAGGTGCGATTAAATGGAAAATTAATGTAATTGCACTTGTTAACTGGATGGAAGCCCCGGAAACTATAGAAATTTGCATATACCTGTTAACTAATAAATCCCTAAGACCACATTTAGCATGGCATAGAATATTAATTGTTAGCTAAACTGGTTTTCAACAAAGCATCAAATCAGTTTGTTTTTATTTTATACCTATTAATGCTTTAGATTTATCACCCAGGTAACACCTGTATTGTCATTGTAACGAAGAATGCCCTGTGATTTAATCTGCTAAGTATATTATTGTATTTATTTCCTTCACTTTGTTTTTACATTTTGCTTGTTGTTGACCAAATAAATATTGATTTATTTGTACTCTTTTGAAGGATTTTTATGAAAAAAAATCATCCCTAAATTTGTTGTAAACCCTATTTAGGTTTTATTTACCGTGTTTCCCTGAAAATAAGACCCTGTCTTATATTTTTTTGAAACCTGAAATAAGCACTTGGCCTTATTGCTATGCGCTCAAAAGCCTGATTGGGCTTATTATCAGGGGATGTCTTATTTTGAGGGAAACAGGGTACTTCCTCTGTTACTGTAATAAACAATTTGTGCTTCCGTGAAAGAGTGTGTAATGAACCCTTTTATAAATAAAATTTGTGGGAAATTGATTTAGAGAAATCTCTTACACTGTACCTCAATATATTTGGCTTCCATTAATTTTTTTCTTTTAACAACAAAGTAGATTACAACAATTTTTTTCTTTTACAATAAAGTAGATAATTCAGAGGCCTGAGCCTCTCTTAATGAGCTTTATGGTTGAGTGAAATGTTAATCTTCATCTCAATTAGATATTAATATCCTTAATCACAATAATATATTGCTCCCTAAAGTAGCTAGGAAAAGGATTGTACACAAATGCAGAGTGTGCACCAAGATGAGTCTGTATGCTGTAGCACTATATTGTAGTCCAACTATTGAAATACATATTGCCAAATTATCATTTTTTATATTTAATAATGTATCCTTTTGCCAAATCAATTTAAATTCAGAATAAAAGTTGAATCATTGAATCTGAATTGAACTTCCAAGTCAAATCTTTGCCTTAATGGATAACAAATAGCTACCAGGTTCAAGAAACAAAGATATGGTCTGTAGTATTGTTTAAATAGCCTAAAATGCAATCACTATTGCTATATTATGAAATTCCAGTTCTGAATTTTAAAAGCATGATTATTTACTTTTGAGACCAGCAAAATGTATAGAATTGTGATTTTTGTAGAGTAACAAGAATAAGATTATTTGGGTTTGGAAAGTAATCAAGAAAAGATCCAGAAATTCAGCAAATAAACAGATTTTTAAACGCCACAATCATGAGGTGTCTGGACTGTGGGCAGAAGTATAGATTAAGGTTGAATTTTCCACGACACTTTTTTTTCGTGTCTTCAAGTCAGTGTTGAGTCTTGATGCCTACCTAGACAAGTCCCTGCAGTTTTCCTGGCAAGATTTCAGAAGTAGTTTGCCATTGCCTTCTTCCTAGAGCTGAGAGAGGGTGACTGCCCAAGGCCACCCAGCTGATTTTGTGCCTAAGGCAGAACTTTGTTCTAACTATCTCCCAGTTTCTAGCTTTTACCCTTAACAATTACATCAAGGCTTCACCAAAATGACTATCTTTTTTTTTCAGGGGGGAAATAAACATTGTAGACTGGCAAATCTCCACAACTTCCTGAAATACCAGTCGTGAGGTTTCTGCTGTCTTTTTAAACAGTTTAGTTACAAAGTGCCCGGGAGACCAATGCTGTAAACAATGCAATGTGTACATATGTTGTTTTTGTTGCTGGGCAATCCTATGCTTGTGAAATTCTGTTGTAAGTATAAGCAGAAATTGATTTAGGGGTGAGGTTTTTTTTGCATAAATTTGTATAATATTGGGATATATCTACTGCCAACTCAATTTTCCTGTGAAGAAGAGGATGAGTAATCAAGATGTAATTGTTTTAAATGTGGGTGGGCTTAAATTTACCACAAGGCCTTCTACACTACGAAGGTTCCCGGAGTCAAGATTGGCAAGAATGTTGAATGGCAATGATCCTGAATTTAAGTTGCTAAATGGCCAGTATTTTGTGGACCGTGATGGAGTTCTGTTCAGCTATATTTTGGATATCTTAAGAACGCTCCAGCTTGCCCTACCTACTGACTTCGTAGACTACAAGAGATTGCAGAGAGAAGCTGACTTCTATGAACTTTATTCTGTGGCTGATCTCCTACATCAGGAAAATTTGCTGAAACCCAAACCAGAGATCTTAGAAATACGATTCTTGCTCCAGGAAATGCAGGGCTTTTTCCGCATATTTGGTTCCTGCAGCATTACTATTGATGAGCTGGCTGACCGGATCACAACCTTTGCAGAAAATTTTGTAGGAATGAACTGGAAAAATCATCGTGTCCCTTCTCAGCAGTCACTGTCTCCCCTTTCTTTGGAGAGGCCTTCTCATCATGATCTTGTCTTCCAGTGTGGCATCACCTACAGCGATCAATCTGTTGCAAGGTATTTTTGAAACTATTTCTGTATGTCACCATAGAAATATTTTATAGATTTTTGGTTCTCAATGGAACAAGTAGAGTTACCGTATTTTTCGGAGTATAAGACGCACTTGAGTATAAGATGCAGCTTAGCTTTTGGGGAGGAAAATAGGAAAAAAAATATCTGCCTACCAGGTATTCATTTGGCTAGCGTCCTTAGTCTAGTCAGCTTCAGCACATTAGTTTGCTGGTTTTTATCCCTTGCTTGGAGATTAAAAAAAAGCTTCTAAAGCACAATTGACCTTTGGAGAGAGAAACAATGAGAAAAGCAGACAAACCATGGAGATCGCTTCACTTGCTAACGCCTTGTTAGGGCTGAAAAAAAGCTTCATAGCTGAGAGTCGGAGGGAGCAGGCAAAGCACAGATCGCTTCACTTGGTAACGCCTCGTTAGGGCTGAAAAAAAGCTTCAAAAAAGCTACACACCCAAATTTTCAGCCTCTTTTAGGAGAGAAAAAAGTGTGTCTTGTATGGAGATTCTCAGTTATCCAGGTCATGGTTGTCCCAAAGGTGCTTTTTCAAGAGGCAACTGGAGTTTCTGATTTTTCTTTGAAGATGTTTTGCTTCTTATCCAAGAAGCTTCTTCAGCTCCTTCCATTCCCCACCATCCTGTCAGAACTAAAGAAGCTTCTTGGATGAGAAGCAAAACATCTTCAAAGAAAAACCAGAAAGTCTAGTTGTCTCTTGAAAAAGTACCTTTGGGACATTACATGGAAGTAGTTATTACAAGTACCTGGACTTAAAACTAGTTGTTGTTAACTTAGATACTGCTCTGGGTGAAATGGGTGAAAGCTGGGCTACCACCCTTGTATTACAAACTTCACTTCATGAACATAAGAGAGAATACAGCACTGTATAACATCATGGTAGAAAATGATGAAGAGATGGGGAAAAGAAATAAAGAAGGAAATAGAGATTAAATATTAATTAATTAACAAAATTCATATGAATAGTATTATATTTAGTCTTAGAGATTTGAGCACTATTATCTTTAAGTGTTTTGAAATTAAATCTAGCTTTAAGAAACAATATCAAATAAAAGACAAGTAATAATGTATGTAGATGTATATATGTATATAATTGCACCAATGAACCGAAAATGTACCAAATGTATCACTATGTGTTATAATAAAAATCAAATTTAAAAAAAAAATGATGAAGAGCTTGAAAAGAGTTATTATTTACATTGAAGAATATAATATAAATCAACAAAATTACCCATCCCACAGTAGGTTAAAATTAGCAAGTTGAATAGGACTTCTTTAAATATAATTAATTTTTTCATATCTCCTGATATCATTATGAAACCCTAAAGCCAGCTGGGAAAAAATTCAAAACCAAGGATCCGTCACTGAGAATACCTTTGTTCTCAGAATCGGAAACAAAAATGATGTCAGAAGAGTGCAGTTTATTGCCAATCGCATTGGACAAAAAGGCATTCCCAGCTACAGTAGTTCTAAGTAATTATGGGCTGCATATTTTACCTATTACCATCAAGAATTATATCAAGTGAAGAATTGTGCATATTATGGAATGCAGTGATTTATTTCTTTCAGAAAAGCTACTGCATTGTATAGCTGAAAATAGCTCCAAGTAAAACAAAATGGTACTATAGTCTTGAAAAGACAGAATCATGAATGACAGTGACTATTACATATATACATATTTCGTTGTATGGCTATACTGTGTATATGTGTACAATGACAATAAAGTGATGACGATGATGATGATGAATGAAATGGTTAACCTCTTACTGAAAGGAATCAAGCATAACCTGCGATTCCAGCTGAGTCAGTGGATTCAAGAAGCATATTTGCAAGATGGAGGGAAAGGAACATGTTCTATAGTGAAAATCTAAGCAATTTTTAAAAATATCTTCTGTGAATTTCTAAAGCTTGGAAATTTCCAAATCCTTACTTTAAATGACAAGTAATTACTAATGAATTCTGAGGGTAAATAGGAATTCAGGGAATAGAAAACATGTTGACAGATATATAATGGAATTTTACCTAGGCTGTAAAAATCATTTTCAAATCAAGAAAACTTAGAAGTACCATAAATCAAACCAAAATTTGCACCTACCTGAAGTTTTCCAAAAGTAGAAGAGGTCTTCTAATGATACTGGAACTTAAGGCCCAGGACAAATGTTTTGTTATCAGCTCTTATTCTCCTTTACAACTGAGAAGATAGCAACTCATTCCCAAGAGATAAATTATTTGCTTTTCAAGTGCCCCTAATGCCACATCACAGAGAAGCCTTACGTCTGTTTATGAAGTCAGTGTAACAGTGGAAGAATCAGCATACTTCTAGAGATAGAGAAAAGGGGCAAAAAGTTTCTGATAACTCAGTCTTAAAGGTGATCCTTGTTAGGAGCAGGAGGAGAAGAAAGAGTATGAACTTAATCCTAGATGAGAAAAAGAAGTTTTGCACATGTTTGTGTGTGAGAGAATTCATTTCCATCACTTTTTTCCTATTTCAAAAATATGCAAAATGTTTCTGTACGGTCATGGTCATGTTGACTGTGTCGTGAAATTAAGTACATTAGCCAATTTTCTTTACTTCTCTAATAACACTGATATAAAAGTAAACCAAGATTCTTATATTTCTATGAACAAATTTGATATTAGCACACAGCTATCACTGTTTTGCCCTTCCACTCATATGAGCAGGTAAACAAATCAATAAATATGCTTAGCATTCTGAGTAGCATCTACAAAACAACTTAATAAACCAACTACTTGCCAGATTAACTTTAAAGAAGTTATTCTTACAGTAAGAATGTGAAAGAAAAAAAGAAATTTTGTCATATATAAAAAGGTGGTCCTGTAGATAGATAATATGGCAAAAAGGAATTATATAGGTCTGCCACAGCAGAATTTATCAAAAGCTGCGTTCGTATGGGAAGTATGACAGGCAATGGTGAGGCAAACAGTGCATAGGGTTGCAGCCAAAAGTAATAATAATAATAACAGGGTGGATAAAAATCAATGATTTTTTTAAAAAAATCAAAAAAATAAGATTTTTTTGATTTTTATCAAATTTATTTTAATAAAATGCTTTGGGAGTAAAAATCTATCTAAAGATAGTTTTCTATTTAAGATACATTAATAATTTAGTTTAATCAGCATGAAATGGACCTTAGTTATGTAGCATGAGGCTGTATATTCTGCAATATTGGGACTGTTGGTGAGTCAACAGCGGGTCAGAGGAGGAGCCGCTGCCAGAAAAGAGATGTCAGCTGCTCTTTAAAAATTATGATTTAAATCGAGTTGATTTAAATCAAGCCTTTTTACTAGTGATTTAAATCAAATCCACCCTGAATAATAATAATAATAATAATAATAATAATAATAATAATAATAATAATAATAATAATAATAATAATAATAATTTTATTTCTATACCGCCCTTCTCCCGAAGGACTCAGGGCGGTGTACAGCCTATTAAAAACACAAAAATATACAGACATCAATTAAAAGGGCCTGGTGGCTCAGCAGACTAAAAGCATTGTGATTAACACCAGCTGTCTGCAATTACTGTAAGTTCGAATCTCACCAGGCTCAAGGTTGACTCAGCCTTCCATCCTTTCTAAGGTAGGTAAATTGAGGACCCAGTTTGTGGGGGCAATAAGCTGACTTTGTATAAATATACAAAAGTATGAAGGCTATTGCTTAATGCATTGTAAGCCGCCCTGAGTCTCCAGAGAAGGAGAAAAAAAAAAAAAAAGTAAAAGTAAATGGGAATGTTATTTCTCCTAAGCAGGCTCTAGAGGAGGACATATGACTTACCAAAGATATAATGTGTTTTGAATGAGGGTTTCAAAATTAGGAGCTGGAGACATTAGGTTTGTAAATTCCCCATCTCTGATGGATAAAATGCCATTAGATCCATTGTTATTTCTTTTTGACTATATTATAATCTAAATAATTACGATCATAAACAGTAATATCCTTCAAGGTCCCTGTGGCTAGAAGTTTTAAAGCAAGATATTAGAACTTTGCCTGTTCTAAAACACTTGCTAAAGTAAATAATGGGTTTTGTACATATTATCCAATTAAGAGAAATAATATACAAATGTAAATCAAGTTGGTTCTGCTTTCTAAGATAAATATATTGTTCAGCTATTCAAATTGTTAGGCTTTTCTAAACTGATTTCTTTATGAAAATATACAGAAAAGCAATAGCAAACCCCAGGACCATTTCAAATGGAAAATTAAACTAGTGAGCCTTCAATTTCAACTATAAAATTTTCGCAAAGTGTCAGTGATTATAATATAAAACATTTTATGGTAGAACCTCTGGCACTTGCTTTTCAGAAGCCCAGCAAAATCCTGCACCTTTTACAATCTCCCAAAAAACTCTTATTAGGTCAGGCCATCGAAGTTAACTTGTCTTTTAGTGCACTTAAGTCTTCTGTCAATCTTTAAAAATAAAGTCTACTTCAGTTTAGCTTGAACTCATGGCATATATTATTTTGGCGATATAGATCTGGCAATGTGTTTTGCAAATCGCCCACCCCCAAATTTCCAGACTAGGTTAGAGACTTGGGATTTCTTAGAGGTCTGATAAAAAGAATCTCATCTTGCTTAATTTTTCAGTACTAGCCAAGGTTGAAAAATAGCACTGTTTAAAAGTTTAATAAAAAAGTAAGTACATTGAAAATGGTCAATACATTAATACTAACATATTTATCTCTTTTCCTTTGACAGATATGTTTCTATAAAACCTGATAAGAGAAAGCTGTTTAATGGAGCTAATGTTCTTGGATTACTGATTGATATTTTACTCAAAGATGGATTTCGTTTACTAAGTTCTAGGACCGTTTCAGCTGAGGAAAAAATTGAATGTTATTGTTTTGAAAGAATGAGATCACCCGAGATTTTTACCATCAATATCACAGAAACAAAAAGAACTACTACTAAACCATCAAAACAAATCCAGATGAACAGGACCAAATGATACAATTTTTAAACAAAGATTGTATGAAGTATAAAGTATAAAGTTGTATGTCATCTGTCTCTTCTTGGGGATGTTGATGGCCATATAAATGTGATAAATAAATAAGCAATTTTAATTGAAAAAGAGCAAAATTCTTGTTTGCAGCTTAGAATTTTTTTTAGATTTTTCTTATTGAAATGACAACTAGGGTAAATTTAGGGATAAATTATCATTGGCCCCAGCTCCAGCCATTACAGCTAATGGTTTAGGATAATCAGAATTATTATTAAGACCTGGATGTTCACAGGTTATTCAGTTCTGTTGTAAAGAATTCAATCAATTCCCTTATTCTTCATGTCTCAACTTATTTTTCCAACAGTCATCATGATTTGTTGCTCATGGAAGCAGTCTCTGGCAAGATGTGGTGATATTGACTTTGGAGATTTATTGATATTGACATTTTTATTTATTATTCCCCCTCCACACAAGTATTTTCTGTTCTCTTTGGTTCTACTTAGAATATTGGCAATATTGTACTTCATTTTTTCAATGTAAGTACAGTAGTGTAAATGTAGTTCTTTTGTATTTATTACCTGCTATTAAACCTATGTAAAGATTTATGTAATAAGACATGTCATTTATAATTTCCAAAGGGGATACATAGACACTGTAAAGTGTGTTAAAAATGACTAAGTGATACCTACACAAATTGACAAGAAATGAATGTGAATTATCTTACAAATTATATGAAAACAGTGGGAACCCATTAATTTGGTGCATAATCTGTTTCTGGCTTACAGTGCCGGCCTCATTTGTTTACTCAGAATACATTCCATTCTCTGATTTAAAATGATATTCCATCTCTTATTTTTGATGACAGTGTGATAAAATACTTCCCTCAATTTAAAGTTCTTGTGGAAAGTATGAAGGCAAGCAGGGCAAAGTCAATCATGAAGGTTACTGGTAAGGCTACCAGAAATAGGTTGCAAAAATCTAGACCAGTGATGGCGAACCTTTTAGACACCAAGTGCCCAAACTGCGTGTGCACGCATGCCCAAACTGAAAGGTAGACATGAGCAGCAGAGACCTCAAGACCAGCTGGCCGGCGGGAGGCGGGGCATCCCAACACCGGGAACGTGGGTAGAGGTAAAATCTTTTTCTTTTGTGAACTTCTGTTTCGTCGTTTGCAGGGAAAAAAAAGCTCACAAAAGAAATGCCATGGAGATCTGACCTGGAGTGATGGCACGCATGCCAGCAGAAGGCTCTGCATGCCACCTCTGGCACGCGTGCCATAGGTTTGCCATCATAGGTCTAGACTCATAGAATGCATTAAAGTACTGAAAACTCTTTGCTGCCATCTCGTGGTCATTTGAAATTTTGCAGACTAGATCTAGAGAGCCTACCATTACTTATCTTTGGTCCAATCAGGCAGAACTTCTCAAGATGATCTGTCTTAATCCATGTATTCCACAACTCTTGATTACAGCGACCAATCTACTTCAAGAGACTTGCTGAAGAATAGAACAGCCTTACTTCAACAGCACAATTGATACTGGAGATACTTTAGTAATGATAACTCCAGTATTTATATGCTGCTAAGGCACAACTGGCACCAGAACCATATACATAATTTAAAGTTAAAGTTTAAAGGATGAAATTTATCTTTTTGAGAAATAATTTCTTGAATATTTGAGCCAGCATAATATAGTCAAAATTCATAAGCATGCTATGCTGCTTCATAACCTAGAGGTATTTACAAATTCAAGCGGAAAAGACATTAATGGCAGTCTGACTGAAGAAACATCTCTTTTAATGTTAAACAGATAAATTCAGTGGCTTTACAGAATGTTCTTGCTAACATTATCCTATAGCTTTATGTTCACTGAGATAAATTCCTAGAGATCAGTACTATCAAGGAGCTTTTGAGACAAGGGGGGGGGGGGGTCAACTTATTTTCCAAAGCACCTGAAGGCAGGACAACAAGCAATGGATGGAACTAAGAAATTTCCTGATAGTTAGAACAATTAATCAGCAGAATGACTTGCCTCCAGAAGTTGTGAATGCTCCAACACTGGAAGTTTTTAGGAAGAAATTGGACAACCATTATTAGGGTTTCCTTCCTGAACAGGGGGTTGGGCTAGAAGACCTCCAAGGTCCTTTCTAACTCTATTATTTTTGTTATTCCATAAGCAATTGACAGTAATATAAAGAGATTTAAATTTTCTCGAGTGTTTATTTCCTGTGTTTTGTTGCTATTATTTATATATTCCTATATGATACAGGCAAATAAGTAGCAGTTCAAAGGGTGCTGCAGCCTAATGCTACTGTTCAAAGAAAATTAAGAAGGCACTCTTACTCCCTTGCAGTTACATCTGTTGCTCGACTAATATTGAAACATCAGCATAGAATAACCACCATCTTCACTATATTGTAGATAGCGTAATGGTAGAAATCAATGGCTTTGACATTAAGTATAGGAACACTACTGACAGAAAAGCCGCTAAGGACTTTAATGCGTTTGCAATCCAGTTGCAGCACCTTCTCCTTCCTGCCCAAATCAATCAAGTTAGAGATAGCTAAAAAGAGGGGAGGTCAAATAAGCTGAAGTAGGATACGTGACAATAGGAAAATAATGACTTTAATAATGACTTTTACATTCATTGTCTTTTCTCTGGACATTACAGTTGGGAAACTAATCTTGCTGAAGTATAAAAGAAGGTATTACTAAGAACAGTTAGCCAAGATCCTTTTTACTAATATGACATATTGTTTCTGTACAGGTCTAGGACTTTTTGTCTCTGACTTTTCATTCTCGGCCAATTCTCCCTCGACTTATCTCCTCAGCTGGCACCCCTCCAGTCATTTGCCCTAGGGGCTGGGTCACCGGCCTCTTCGTCCCAGACCCTTCGACACGGCCCATTCGCAGAAAGAGGGTTTGTCCTGGGTGTTCCGCCCTCTGTGACAGTTAGCCCCCAACCAATTGGCTAGAGGGGGTATAATAGAAATCCAGCAAAAGGAGAGAGGTGTAAAGGAATTTGCCAAAATGCCTGATTTCCTTCCTCCCCCCCCCCCCCCCCCCGACCAATACAGGGACACTGTTACTGAGCGGGCTAAAAGCCTCCCTCCCTCCCTTCAACCAGTTAGTTAACCAAGTCTGGAAGGGTCCAATAGAAGAGAATTTTTCCTTCTTTCCTTCCTTCTTCCATCCATCCAACCTTGTAACATGACAATGATCGGCAACATTACAGTAGATCCACCAACGAATGGCTGTAAGAGAAAAAAGATCCTTCCAGTCAGTGTAAGACTGATAGACAATTATAATACCTACTTGAAAGCAGGCAATACCAGGTATTAGAGTCAAGGGTTACTTTTTCTACAGAAAGAAATGGTGGCTGTTAATTTGTTGAATAAAGGATTGCAAAGAAATGTTCAGTTTCTTTGTTCAATAGTTGCATTGGTATATAATGTTTGAATTAAGATATAACACTGAAGTGTACACATGTTAGAAAAGAAACAACTTGACATGGGGCTTACTTATTTTTTCACAAGACTGTACCTAACCGAGGACTACAACTTGGCATGACTTCAATTTGATGCAAGAGCTTTCAGAAATACCCAGGGTCCATTTTATAACAGAGGCGAGTAAACACAAGGACAGAAATGTTCCATCGCTGGGACACAACTGAGGGATCCAAGAGCGCAAGAAGCAGAAAACTTCTTTGCAGAAAACAGATGAAAAGCGCGAAGCCTCCAGTCCATCAGGTTAGGCGGGAGCAGAGGTGCGGCTACGCCTACTGAATTTGCTTGTCAAGCAAATTTGCTTGCAGCGCATCGAGAGGGACAGCGAAGAAAATCCCTTCCGAAGTTTACTCGCCCGAATGCGATTTTGGAGGGAAAGAGTCGTCTCGGCTGTGAATAAAGATTAAGCGCTGGAGAATTCCTCAGGGAAGAAAAGAAGCACTTGCAAGAGACCATCCATGTGACCGGAGTTTCCCCAAAGAAGAAACATCTCTTATCCCTCTTCTACCTCCTACCGGCAAAGTCCTAAATCAAAAGGAGCGCAGTACGTCCCCTGTTCGAAAAGGGCGCGAAAACTCTTTATTCAAATTGGCTGGGGCAGCTCATTCTCCCTCAAAGCATGATGGGAAATGAGGGTAGTCTGAGTAAAAGGTCCTGAAAAGCGGGCGGGCGTGGAATTTAGCGGATTCTTTGCGGTTAAAGTATTGTGATGGTCTAATTCGGACCTCTAAAACAAGACGGATTCCTCTCCAAAATGCCATCTGGAAGATGGCTAGAGCTGAACAACATGTTGGGTTAAAATTAGGTACCAGAGATTTGTACTATATTGGCTTGATACGGTGGACCCATGTTTACTGAATCGCTTGAATAATGCAAAGCCTCCCCCAGACTAGATTCACAATTTAAATCAATAAACAATGACAAAGTGGGATAGCATATTGTGCAAAAACAGAGGCCAACCCAGCAATGGAGAAATCGGCAAGAAGCAACTGCTTGAGCTGTAGTGGGGCAGTGGTTAGAATGCAGTACTGCAGGCCAGTTCTGCTGACTGCGGGCTGCCTGCAGTTTGGCAGTTTGATTCTCATTTGAAGACCCAGATTGTTGGGGCTGTAAAGTACTGTAAAGTGGTCTAAGTGCTATTGCTTCCAGTTCTTTTTTGCTTGGACAATGTACTGTTTTGTCTGGACTCATGAAGCTGTCAAGGGCATGACAATTAGCAAAGGTGGTTGTATTGTGACTGCTCTCTCTGTCCTCTTTCTCAGCTAGGCTACAGTTAGAAATAATCAAGTTTTATCTGTGCCATCTGGAGGAAAAGTAAGTGGAGGCACCAAATCCCATATTTTGCTTGCCCCCCCCAAACATTCATTTCAGATATTCCTATTTGAGTTCTCTGAGAACTTATTTCACATGTGCAATTCTTTTGTATTTTGATTAATATGTTAGTAGCATTTGGTTCTTCTGCATGTGCACCATATTGAGTAGGGCCTAGATTGCATTTTGGAACAGTTTTCATCTAGTATCCACTTGAACAAAATTTTCCCATAATATTTGGATTTCAAAAGAACTAATTGCTGAATTAGTTCTTTTGAATATATGTATATTTATATATTTTTTTATTTTATTCTCTCTTATAGGTGAATTCATTGAAAATTATGTAATATAAATTAATATAAATTAGTATATAAATAAAAAAATAATAATAGAGAATTGCAGCCTAATGAGATGCTTTTATTTCTCTTTTACTTTTTAATTTTATTTGTTGAAAAATATGATGAAAAAGAAGTTTTACAGAAGGTACAAAACTGAATGAAACCCAATCCAGGACGAATTCTTCAAATTCCTTTTTAAAAAATTGGGTGAACTAAATTAGATATGGTCCATGGGTGAAAGATGGCGTAAACATTTAATTAAAAATTGTTAAAGCATGGTATTACAGAATAGGGTTACTTATGCCATGTGAAATTTCATGAATTATTATCCCAATTTGTGATGAAAAACATTCTCCCATAGACAGTGTCAAATATCACTATTTGTTAGCAATTAGCCACACATCCAGGTTTCTGTTTTAATAATCAAATCCCATCATGATCTTTTATGAACTTTCAAGAATGTATCAGAAAAGCACAAATAATACTGGGGTATCCTTCAGAGCATTTTTCAGAAACAGGTATGAGATTGTGAGCCACTGTTCCAGTATATGAACGCATACTACTAATAAAATAGATAAAAAAGTAACAAGTTTATATTCTTTTTAAAATGATATTGTCACATAAAATAAATTACTGTCTTAGAAAGAATTGGTTGCCTGTAACAATTTGATTGCTAAAGCAAAGCAATTCGGCTGCTTTTTAAATTTTTAGATTTATTTTAGTTTTTTCATTCTTAGACTTTAAATTTTTTAATCCTGCCTTTATTAACTTTTATTATTAAATTTATATGCTGTTCATCTCTCTGTCCAGAGCAACTCTTAGAAATAACTCAAGGCAGTGAACATAACTAACACTCCTTCCTCCTATTTTCTCCACAACAACAACAACTCTGTGAAGTGAGTTGAGCTCACAGAGAGTGTCTTGTCCAAAGTCATCCAGCTGGTTTAAATTTAAATTTAGCACGGTTTCATAAAGACACTATTGGGATGTTTTAATTAATAAACATTTAAAAATAATATAGATCGAGTCAATAAAAATGTGTAATTATAAATTTAAATAATATTTGGTAACAGCAATCATTCCATAATTTATTACTTCCCTAATTCCCTTTGTAGTATTTGACTACTAGTTGTTTTTGTTCTGAGCATAGGCATGAATCAAACCAGGAAAGATAATGGGGGGAGAGGAGTGGTTTTCATCACAGAAGGGGAGGAAAATATTAAACTTTATAGCGCATATACAACCCAAATGTTAGTTTCATTCTTGCAACAAATTTCATCCTAGAAGATTGCTCTACGCGTGCTTGTACCGTTGTCTTTCGCTATGAAGAAAGCAGTCCTAAATAAAATGGGATCCCATAAAATTTTACAACGCCATTCTTTTCAAAGCCATTCGCTATGTTTAATTTCTAGATACAGATAGCGCTTCTTTTTCACATCTACAAGCCTCCGGCCAGCCTGACTCTTTTTCCCAGTCCATCACAGCAAGAGCAGTTGCGTCGCGGGATTGCCATGGGTACGAGTAACACTGAAGCGGACGGATACAGTCCAATCTCCTTTGGAAGGAAAAAATGCATAGGGACAATGAGCCCCCATTTTCATTATGTTTTTAATTTGTCAAAAGGGCTTCCTTCTGCCGTTTTTGATCACTAAAGCGCTAGTCGGAGCCTTCAGACAAGAAAGCTGGAAGGAACTATTTTTTTTTCCTGGCGGAGGGAACTGATCGCGGGTTTGGCGTACCACTGCCAGTGAATTTGGTGGGCCGTGGCCGGGCAACGAAGCACACTCTGCCCCCGGGACGGGGATGGGTAGGAGGTATGGAGGTGGCGGGGAACGGCGTGGGTCCTTTCCATCTGGGACCGTTGACATCTACGCCTATAGAGTCCTCTACCTCGAGCGTCCCCACACGGGTGAGTGGGGTTGTAAACTGAGTAGTTGGAAACGAGGGCGAAGGGAATCGCCCAGCGCACTTACGTTTTAGGAGTTGAACCTTCGGAATGAACCTCGTGTGTCAGGATTCCAGAATATCCCCCCCAGAAAGGTGGACTATAAATGGAGTGACCTCCAAAAATTAAGTAGCATTGGGCTTGGTTAGAGATGTAGGGCATGGCACATCCTTTTACTCCAGTGGTAAAGGATATGGTCCCAGACAAAACTATGGATATTGCCACAACCTCAACAAGAGTCAACTTTAGCTTCAGAGAGAAGTTATGTTTTAACATAGTAACACATTGAGCACCATATTAAGCTCCACTGGTTCTAGTTCACCCAAGATTGTTGCCAGCCACAATCTATCCAACTGTTTTTATATAGTTTAGGATATAGTGCTAGGTAGTCTAAGGTGGTGCCTGCTTAATTAAGTAGTTAGTCCATTATATAAAGAATGCTAGTGGGCTTGAGATTAAATTAAACATCTGGCCATCCCAGAGTGTGATTCCATATAGAATTTGAAATACCTGAAACCACTAACGTCAATGAATTCAAGAACTCTAGGAACATAAGAGTTTGTTACTTGACTGCATTTTTAGTGAAATCAATAGAGTGTATTCTTGAGAAATTTGCAATCATTTGGGTGTTACACAACATGCTAATTCAGAAATAAACAGGCAGTTGTGTATGAGTTCTGTTGTTAGAGTTTATGGATTATCCTGGCTAGTTATGGTTTAACTAAAACCGTAATTAATTTATACATTTAATATATACATAATACATAACACACATTATACATAACTTAGTATTATGTATAAGACTGCTAACTTTTGTTGGAAGATTAATGGAGAGAGGAACTTTTTCCCCATAAAGTTAGAATGTCAGATTAATTTCAGATAGCTCTTCATTTGCCTTAAGGTCCCAGGTACTCCATGTCCTAATCTCAAAACAAAACAAAACAAACCTAATAAAAAAGCACCTACCCTCAACAAAGCTACCTACCATGATACTTCATTGTGCTTGAGCTCTTTCATTGGTAGCATGTCTCTAAAAGCCATAAGAGTCATAGTGGCGCAATGTTTAGAATGCAGTATTGCAGGCTAATTCTGACTGCCTGCTGCCATCAGTTCAGCAGTTTGACTCTTACCGGCTCAAGGTTCTTTTCATCCTTCCGGGATCGGTAAAATGAGGACCCATTGCCTCTGTAAACCGCTTAGAGAGGACTGTGAAGCGGTATATAAGTCTAAGTGCCATTGCTATTACAAACCACAGTGACAGGCAAATCACATAACTATCTTCACAGAATATGCTTATCTGTAGCTAATTTGACTAGTTTATGGCACTTACTCAGATTTTTTATTTATTTATTCAATTTATATCCCGCCCTTCTCCAAGTGGACTCAGGGCGGTGCACAGCCAGAACTAAAATACATATCAATACAAAATTTAAAATTATTAAAAGAATTAAATAACGATGGCCCCAAAATTTAAAACATTAAAAACTAAAACCCATTTGACAATTTAAAAAGCTAAAAAGACTAAAAAAAATTTGGGGTTCTTATGTGACATTGAAATATGAACTACACAGACTGAGTGGGCATGATATCCTCAGGATATTAATTGGCAGGTTTGTTGTTCATTGTGTTGTGAACACAGCATTAGCCTGAGAATGATACCATATTAAATTAATGTTTTATTTTGACATAATTTGTATGAATACAGATGTAATGTGTTAATAAGATATATGGTTTAGCATATAAATACTATTGAATGTATGTATCTAGGCATATTCAAGAAGTGTAGTATATAATCATATCAAATGAATTTTAAATAAAATATTCTAATTCAAGGTCTCTGAATAATATTTCAAGATTATGTATTATTTTTCTTGTCATTATTGTAATGTTTAGTTGTTTTGGAGTTTTCTGTCTAATTTTTCTGTCTTTAGTTTATTCAAGTATATTTACATTTACAGTACTTTGTGTGTGTGTGTGTATCCTTTAATAGTTTAATATTTGTAAGTTTTAATATATTATTTTATAAACTCAACAAAAAAAATTTAATGGATTGTGCTTCAGCAATAATATTGCACTGAGAGGCAAGCAAAATCTACTGTTTACCAAAATAATGTATGTACAATTAAGAGGAGATGATAGCTGATTTTAGCTTAGTGCAGAGGTTCTCAAACTTAATGGCATAATGAACCTCTAAAATGATAAATGAAAATGTGTATTTCCTCCCACAAAGCTTTAGTAATGAAAATAAAGGGATGCAGTGAAAAAAAGGAACTTAAATATACAGAAGACTAAATTAATAACAAGTACAGCAACTAGTGTTCCAGTATTTGAGAGGCTGCCACAAAGAAGAAGGGGTCAAATTATTCTCTAAAGCACCAGAGGGCAGGACAAGAAACAATGGTTGGAAACTAACCAAAGAGAGAAGCAACCTGGAATTAAGGAGAAAGTTCCTAACAGTGAGGACAATTAACCAGTGGAACAGCTTGCCTCCAGAAATTGTGGGCGCTCCATCACTGGAGGTTTTTAAGAAGAGACTAGATAGTTCACTTGTCTGAAATGGTATAGGTTCTCCTGCTTGAGCAGGGGGTTGGACTAGAAGACTTCCAAGGTCCCTTCCAGCTTCTATTCGATTTGATTTGATTCTGCAATTATGTACAAAAAAAGGGTATTGTTGGTTTTAAACTTGTTGGAAAAGACTCCTGAGAATACCTTGGATAGCCAAGCAAATAAGCAAATGGATCATCAAACAAATCAGTCCAAAGTTCTCAGTAGAGGAATAAATAATCAGTCTCAAATGATCATAATTTGGTCACGTGAAGATATAGCTCACTTGAGAGGGCTATAATACTGAGAAAGGTGAAAAGAAAAAGGTGGGGAAAGGACATCTACAGCAAAATGGATGGACTCAATTTTAGTGCAAATGGGTGCATCATTGGAAAATCTGAAGGACTAGATTGGAGATTAGACAGAGAAGTCAAATTTATACCTGAAAAGAAGCTGTTCAAATCACATTCATATTGTTGTCAAATAAATGACATGGACATAATCAATGTAGACAACAGACATTGTCTTCAATTAAGGAAAACATTATTAGTGCCACTTGAGTTTATGGTGAGGTGGGGGGGATTTTTGTACTTACAGTGCCTGAAGGAATCTCAACTCTTTTTCCACTTTTTTTGTCATCTAGAAGGAGCACTGAATGGCTCATAATAATTATAGCACGTTCCCAACATTTCTAGTTTAGCAGAAGTGAAGTTATTGCAGATATAACAGAGATCAGTTATTCAGTTTCTGCTTAAATCTTTAGACAAGCAGGAACTAAGAAAATAATTAAGTGCCTTTTTCTTTTCTTCTAATTAAGTATTTTGTGTTTAGTTCTTTTATATGTACCTTGCATGCTTCACATTGCATAATTTAGAAAGTTGCTGAACATTTTTGAAATTTTCATTCATGTTTGGAGATGAGAGAAGTGGATAGAAGTAATTGCAGTGTAGAAGCATTTGCTACAGGTTGGTTTGTAAAATGCCTATTCTACAATGCACTTTTTAAAAACTTTTGTTTTTTCAATGTTTTGTTTTTCAGGCTGATTCCTTGTCATCTGAAAATAGTGATAGTTCAGGAGAAGACTGGCTCATAAAAGTTCGTTGTCCAGGAGCAAGGCATCGATACAGCAAACGAGCTCATGCAAAAAAGGTTAATATTACAATATTATTACTTTAATTAATTAATCAATTAAACATGGTTAAAGTTTGTTAAGAGAATAGTGATCCTTTTGAATGCTGGGTGGTACAGTAGTTTTAATGTGTAACCTGTATATCCAGCTATTCAGTTGATCCAGGAAAGAATTTTGTGGAAGTTCTTATTCTATTTCTGTTTTTTACTTCCCACCTTAAGTAAGTTAGTCACATGACATTAATACTCAACATGTAGAGAAGATACAGAATTATTTCCTGCTATATTTTCGTATTTTGCTTGTGACAGCAGTTCAGGATGGAAGATGAATATAATATGCAATGGTACATATTTATGCAAATCCCAAAAGTATTTCACAGCATCTAAAAACTTTTAGGGACCCATCCCAATTTTGCTTGACAAAAATTGAAAAAGTGAAAAAGACTTTTTCTAATTTAAATTGCAGGACTAAAACATGAGGGTATAGTTAAGGTAAAGGTAAAGGTTCCCCTCGCACATATGTGCTAGTCGTTCACATATGAAACATTCTCCATTTCAAAGCCGAAGAGCCAGCGCGGTCCGAAGACGTCTCTGTGGTCATGTGGCTGACGTGACTAAACGCCAAAGGCGCATGGAACGCTGTTACCTTCCCACCAAAGGTGGTCCTTATTTTTCTACTTGCATTTTTTACATGCTTTCAAACTGCTAGATGGCAGAAGCTGGGAAAAGTAACGGGAGTTCACCCTGTTACGTGGCACTAGGGATTCGAACCACTGAACTGCCAACCTTTTGATCAACAAGCACAGCGACTTAGCCACTGAGCCACCATTCCCTTTGGTAGGGTATAGTTAGAAATGACTTAATTTACTAAAATTATTTGAGTATTTGCATACTTGGGAACATTAAAAATCAGAAGAAGAATTAGAAGAAGAATCCCAGCAACTAGGCAAGCACTAGTTACCATATTTTTCGGAGTATAAGACGCACTCCCCCTCCCAAAAGAGGGTGAAAATTTGGGTGCGTCTTATACACTGAATATAGCCCTGCCTACCCCACCCTTCAGCCATTTTTGGTCTCCGTGCATCGTGTTTTAGACCTGTTCCAGGCTGCAGGGATTGATACGATCATCGCCACCTCCGTGCCTCACGTTTTTGGCCTCTGTGCCTTGCGTTTCAGTCTCCAAATGCTCCATTTCACACCCGTTCAAGGCTGTGGGGATCGCCAGAGCACATCGCCACCAATTGCCGCCTCTGGGTATCACATTTTTGGCCTCTGCAGATCGCGTTTTCAGGCTCCGCATGCTCCATTTTTGGCCTCTGGCATCGCATTTTCAGGCGATTCCAGGCAGTGGGGAGTGTTGGCGTTCAGTGTTCGGAGGCGAGGCACAGAGGCTAAAAACGTGAGGCACAAAGGTGATGATGGTCTGTGGCAATCCCTCCAGCCTGGAACAGCTGATTGGAGGTATTCTAGGAGGCCGATCCACTCGCCAATCAGCTGCTCGTGCTGAATCAGGCTGCAATAATGTGCTGAAGCTGACCTGGCTGTTCGCTATTTGCTGCAAGGATGCTAGCTAGATGAATACCGATGGATGCTGGTAGGCAGAGGCAAAAAATTGTTTTCTTATTTTCCTCCCCAAAAACTAAGGTTCATCTTATACTCCGGAGTGTCTTATACTCCGAAAAATATGGTACTTCAACAGAAATTTGACTTCATGTTCAGATGCAGTATAAAACTGGATCTTCAATTAAGAAGCTGTTTAAGGGACTTTGTTTTCATACTCGTTATGGTAGAGTTCACAGCCACCCTTGATTTATATGATAAATATTCAATGAAAAAGCTTGGACAACTTTGCCTGGATTATATGTTTTTTTGGATCATATTCTCCATATGTTAAATTAGCATAAGAATTATGTTAGTTTTTAAATCAACATCATTTTTCAAAAGTTGAATCTTTCCTTCTGTCAAAGGACTATAGTTACCCATTTTATGTGCAACTAGTTCCTAGAAACAGGCCTCTTTCTTCTTTATATCATAACAAATTTATCTCCATTGTAATTCAGCAAATTATCTCTTCTTTACATAATTATTTATGATCAGACCGACTTTTAATTAAATCATGTAATATTTAATCTCTCTTCCCCTCTCCACCCCACCCACCCCCGTCCTGCTGTGCAGCCTCATCATGGGGAGGGAGGGGTATTCCTGGGAGGGATGAGCAAAGAACATTGGGAGTGTATGGCTGGAATATATATATATTTCCAGCAGGGTCACCCAAGATCATCCCAGCTGCCCAGCTAAAGCAGGCAGGCATCTATATTGGGCAGCAGCAGCAAAGGAAAATGTCAGAGGCAAATGATCGTATTAGTGACAATAGCAAAGGCATCAATTCATACTGCATGGGACAAGGCAGTGGTAACCCACTTCTCTATTTTTATCAAGAAAGTCGGATGTACAGAAAATATAAAATGATTGAGGATATAGTGCCAAATAATGAGTCCCTCAGATTGGATGACACTCAACATTTTATTTATTTATTCAACTTCTGTAGTTGCCCATCTCAACCAAGTGACTCAGGTGGCTTATAGTTCTAAAACTACAAAGTGGTTAAAACAATTAAAGCAATAAACAATAAAAACATCCAAATAATAAGTACATATAGCTGCCAAGATAGTTAAGCAACTAACAGAAAAGCCAAGAAATGGCACCTTTAACACATTCTGAGGCTAAAGCCCAGGTATGTAGCCAGGTTTTTAAGGCCTTATGAGGTCAATAGGGTTGGGGAAAATTCTAATCTCTGAGGGGAAAGTATTCCACAAAGCAGGAGCTGTTGCAGAGACAGCCCGTCTTCTAGTTCCTGCTAGTCGACAATTTAGCTGATGGGTTGTGCAGCATGCCCAATCCGATGGAAGAAAAAGATGGTCCCTCAGATAGCCTTCTAATGGAAAAGAGCTGAGAAATTGAAGTACTAAAGGTGGTTATGATATGGTTAGATTAAAATCTTTGGGACCTCTAGTTGGTGACGTTGCCAAACTGGAAAAGAAAATGTGAAGCTGCAAATATAGAATCACAGTAGGGACATGGAACGTAAGAAACAGGAACAAAGGAAGATAATTTAGAACCCATCCCTGGTACAGAACATGCAAGCAATATATTGTGATTTGAGACTGGAATGCTGTAGCTGAAAACTTGAAAGAAGAAAATATAGTTGGCTTAGGAAACTGGAACAAAGCAGGAGATAGACTTATCCATTTCAGCCACTCAATGATTTCTTCATAGGTAACAAACAAAACAATCCATGGACATCAGATGGAGTATATAGAAGTCAGTTTGACTATATTATTGCTAAAAGCAGGTGGAGGAGCTCTGTTGTAGCATTAGAGACATGACAAGATGCTGACTAGAATAGATCATGTGCAAGCTCTGAGTTAAGCAAAAGAAGAAAAATAGAGCCAATTAATTTCTGATGTTCATGATTTGAACATTTGTCCATCATTTTCAAGGAGAACATCAGGAACCATTCTGAAGTTCTCAACCTCACTGAAAGAGAACCAGAGGAATTATGGAATGAGCAATGAAATTGTTAAAGATAAATGTGAAAAGAGACTATCAAAAATGAAGAAAAAGAAGAAAGCACGTTATGAACAAACTGTGGTAATTGCTAAGAAGAGGAGAGAAGCCAAAACCAAGAAAGACAAAAATCTCAGGAATTATATCAAGAGTTTCAGAGACCTGTTAAAAAGACAAGAAATAATATTGCAATACATCTGTAAAGTTATTGAAGATTATTGAAGATTGTAACAGACATGGAAAAACAAGGAAAGTCTTTCAAAAGATTTCTGAATCCAGAAGAAAGTCCTAACATTTAATTACTGTGCTGAAGGATGCCAGAGGACATAGAGTAATCAATTCAAAGGAGTTCAAAGGAAGATGGAAGGAGTATACTGAAACATTGTATAGTAGAGATGTCAAAATCCAAGATACCTTAGAACATATTCCCTATTTAGAAGAATCTCTAGAATCTGAAGTTACATCAGCACTATTACATTATTACCAAGTCAGAAGGCTACAGGAACGGATATAATACTGATTAAAATATGACAAGCAATAGTAAAGGGATCAGTTTAATCAAGCTATACTAAATAATCTGGAGAATACAGTGGCCACCTCATTGGAAAAGGTCAATCTTCCAATGCCAGAAAAAAGAAACCTAACAGGGTGTCCAAATCAGTGGTGGGATTCAGCCAGTTCGCACCACTTTGGGAGAACCGGTTGTTAACTTTCTGAGCAGTTTGGCAAACTGGTTGTTGGAAGAAATCATTAGGGCAGAGAACCGGTTGTTAAATTAGTTGAATCCCATCACTGGTGCAAACTATCATATAATATACTAAATTTCATATGCTGACAAAATAATGCTTACAATCATCCTATGCAGATTAGAGTTACACATAGAAAAACAGAGATATTCAAGCTGGCTTTAGAAAAGCCTGAACTACACAAGACTTTATTGCTGACGCATGCTGGATAATTGAGAAAGACACAGAAAACCAAAAAGTAGTTAATATGTGGTTCACCAATTATAGATAGCCTTTAATTATGGTAAAACGTTTGACAAAGGAGTGGGACAAGGTTGTATCCCCCTTATTTATTCAACCCATATGCTGAATATATATTAAGGGAAGTTTGATTGTAAGAAGATGAGTGTGATTTTAAAATTGGAGGAAGAAACATCAATAACTTGTGCTAGGCTGATGACACAACTCTGATAGCTGAAAATGCAAAGGATCTGCTAGTCTTGGTGCTAAAAGTCAAAGGGCACAATGAAAAAACCCAAATTAAATATAAAGAATACCAAACTAATGACAACAGGTTTAATAACCAGCCTTAGAATTGGCAATGGAAATATTAAAGTGGTAAATAGCTTTTGCTTTTTAGTATCAATCATCAACAATAAAAATACAAGCAATCAAGCAATATACCACATATTAACATTTGATACAGCAGTCAGGAAGGCCATGATGGGTCTATACATATAAAGTTCACCATGCATGCCATGGTATTCCCTTTGACACTTCATGGAAGCAAAAATTGGAGTTCAAAAAAGCAGGATAGAAAGAGTATACTTTTGAACTTTGATGTTGGACAGGAACCCTGGGATTACTGCTGACAGCCAAGAAAACAAACTAATGGATCATCAAATAAATCAACCCAAAATTCTCACTTGAGTCACAAATGACCAAGCTCAAAGTATCCTATTTAGGACACAGTGTAATACTGTAAAACTAGAAAAGATGAATATTAGAGTATATTGATAAAAAGTTAGATTTTATACAAAATTATTAAGCATATAAAAGGACACATTTTACTGAAGAAGAATCAATATTGTTTATGCAAAACATAACTAACTGACTTTCTTGCTTTTTCCTTAAAAATATTTTGTTTCTCATCCAAGAAGCTTCTTCAGTTCTGAACAACCATGACCTGGATGATTGAGAATCTCCACAGACAAAAAGCAATGTCAGAAAATAGTTAATAAAACATTTTGAACTTTTATAGCTGTCCTTCATTTATTATTGCATTTTGCTATTTTTATTTTCAAAAATAGGAGTCAAATAAAATTTTATTGGCTCTTATAGGTGTTCTTCTGGAGAAAAACAATACAAATATTCAAGTGCATACCAACCTTATTTAATTAAAAAGTTTATATTCACATTCCATTGTGAAAGTAAATTATTTATAAATAAGGTATTTGTTCAAAATTGTTATTTACATTTAATATGAAAAAGTAAATCAAGTATACAAATGATTTATGCAGTCTTCATTTTTAAATACAGACGGTCCTCAATTTATGACCACAATTGGGATTGGCAAATTCATCATTAAACAGAGTTGTTAAGTGACATCATGTGATTGCACCCAATTTTATGACTTGCCATGGTTAAGTGAATCACCATGGTCATTAAGCAAAACATGTGACAGTAATTTGTGATTTACCCTGCCATATTCCCCATTGACTTTCCTTGTCATAAACTAGCTGGAAAGGTTGCAAATGGAGGTCATGTGACCCTAGGATGCTGCAACTGTTGTATATGTGAGCCAGTTGCCAAGCACCTGGATCGTGATCACATGGCTGCAGGGAAGCTATGACAATTTTAAGTATGAGCACTGGTCATAATTTGTTTTAATGCCATTGTAACTTTCAATAGTCTCTAAGTGAATGGTTGTAAGTCAAGGACTATCTATCATCTTCCAAATAGAACCCTTGTACAAGCTGTGATTTTCAGACGATTGCATTACAGGCAGAGGATGAGGATGAGTATTTTTTAAACTTTGTAGTACCTGTATTGATTTCCTCACAACTATGAAAATATTCAATATGCATTGTTTATCTATTAATTTGTAAAATAAGAATATATAATTAAGAAAGAGGAATTAGGAAGCTGCCAATATTGTATCTTTTTATCATCTATGTTTGGAATACATTTCTTAGTATAACTGTAGTTCTTCCAACATATAAAACTCTACAATGAAAATCTTATACAATAATGTTTTACTGTCTTTAATGCTAGTAATTATATAGTTATGATAAAGATAAATTATCTTAACTGAAAAAATTCTTAAAATATGGGTTACAAGGGTCCTTTAATTAAGAAAATAGAAAATTAGAATTTAGAATCAATATAACTAATCTTGATTTAATCTGATCTTGGGTTATATTGTTTTAGTCAGATTGATTCTAATGGGATATATCTCCATATTAGTGTAGAATTAATGCTTTTCCTTAATTTAACAGAGCATATCATCTCGGTCTACAAAAACTGAAACTTCAAGCATTCTAGATAAAAAAGATGACTTCACAGAGAAAACAGAATTGACGCCTACTACATCTTACCAGGTATATGGATTAAACATTTTATTTCAGATCTCAAAGTAACTATCTTGGGGGGGGGGGGAAACTTTATCAGTAAAATGAAGTGAAACATTGCTTAACTCACATAAATCAGATATTTCAGGCTAGCTCAATGGATTTTGACACATTACAATATAGGTAGTTATTGGGTTACTACCATTTGTTCAGCAGCTATTCAAGGTTACTATTGTGGTGACTGGATGGTATTAACTATGGATCTCATAGTTCTAGCAATTGCATTGTCACCATGGTTATGTGACATCACAGGTTCATAACCATGTCATTTAGTGGTTGGCAATTCTGGTCCCAATTGCCATTATAAGCCTATAGTTATGGCAATTGATGTTCTTATAATCTATCTCATGTAACTGCCTTGAATGTATAACCAACCATTTTTAAACGGTTTTTAAATAATTTTTAATAATAGCATGCTGTTTAAATATCATCTGCCCCATCTATGAAAAAAGATGGCCATCTCCAATTACACTTCAAAAATACTTATTTTATAGAAAAATGCCTTTTCCTGTTGAATAAATGTCATTTGTATAGTTAACTTTTTCTGATTTCTTAGCTTGGTGTTAATAGCTGTTGCATTAACTTTCAATATATTTTTCCAAAAAAAAATATTTTTTTTGAGTAGACCACATCATTTTACAATATATCACAATAGTAGTTATGACATAACACTGGAAAAGTTCTTTCTGTGCACATCAACATTCTGGTAACCCACATCATTTATTTGCTTTAGAGTTTCATTTTAACAGTGAGATACTGGAAGTTGATACAGTTTGGTAACTTGTGTGTGAAAATATAGAGAGCCAATATATTTGTTAAATCTGAAGAATATTGTCTGAGAACACAAAGCAACAAACACAACCTATTGTAACATTCTAACATTAGGACTATACAAGAGTGCCAAGGCAGGAGAGTGCAGATTTGGAGTGGCTGATAAGACTTCGTTGTCCAAGAGCTCAAATGGAACAATTGATGCCGGATCTGAAGCAAGTAGGTTTGGATGTGAATATATCAATATTTTCCTGTGCAACATCATCAGATAAATATTTTAATGGTAGAAATTTACAACAGTAAAAGCGGAGTTTCATCTTAGACATATTTTTAAAAATCTAGTTAATAATCATAAAAGTTCTAATCTAATACATGATGCTAATGTTTCTAATACATACTTTTTCAATTTAAGTGAAATACATTCTCATTCACTACAAAGCATTTGGTTCTTAACCAATAAAATGGCAATTTCTGCATAATGAAAATATGTGCATGTTCACATCCCTCCAACCAAAATAACCTTTAATACCACCACAAACATTCTTATACATTTGTCCATAAATATATTAAGCAACTAAGAAGACCCCACCTATCTTTGTCTTATTCCTTGCTCAATATTCAATTACATGCTGAGTATTTCATTTATTTTTACGCTTGCTTTCCTTCCATTATGGGCAGAAATTCTTTGATTATCCACAGATGCTGCTTTTCATTTTAAGGATCTTTTTTAAAAGACCTATGATAGAAATTAAATGGAACCCACAATATATTGTATTTTTGTAATTTGAACTAATATTTGAAAGTAAAATACATACATACATACAGAGGTAAGTTTTGTATAGGTAAGTTTGATTTTTGGTAGCTAAAAGTTTCATTCATTCACTTGGATTTTTTTCATTTTTCAAATAAGTCTTTTCCAGGAATTACTAGTTTCCTGAGTAAATCACAGAGCAAGGTTTATGGAAGAAGTCAACCTGAAAAGACAAAATCTTCAGAGAGTTGGCTAACACAGAAGCACTTGTCTATTGCACAGGTACCAATGTATTGGGGGCACTGAATAGAGACAAAAATCTATAACTGGTGATGTTTTGCTACCTCATAGCAAAGTGCATATTTCAAAAGGCCTTAGAAGGCAAGCGATCCATTCTTTGAGTTCCATGCAGTTTATTGAATGTGTTTGTTGGAGATTAGAAGAAATTGAATTCCTGTCTGCTCTTACTACAAAAAGGTTATAACATAATCTCCAGCAACAGATCCCCAACAGACTGCTGAAGATGTTCTCCTTCTTTGTCATAGATAATAATAAAAGACTTTCATAGTCACTTGGTTAATTTCCTTCCAGTAATTATTTGTTCTGAATATGATTATCAATAGCCATCAAGCTCCTATTCACCTTGTCTAATTTCTTCAATACTTCCCTCAGTCTATCAACTACCCATGATCAAAACTAAGATTGTTTCATTTGGCTTTTTGAAGAGAAGTGAAGATGATTTTTCTCAGTTTGATCTTTAGAATTGTAGACTGGTTTTCATATTGTTTTAATATTAAATATTGTTTTAAATATTTAATTTAAGCATTTTAATATGCATATTGTTTAATTTATCAAATTTAATAACTTATTGGTGATACATGTAGAAAATTGTATATTATTACGGTAATAAAGAGTAAGGAAAACAGTTATATTGAGGCAGATTTTCTAATTGTTATCTTCTCATTACATATATAAAGCATAATAGAGTATTTAATTGTTCTCTGGAGAATTATACTGAATTTGCTAAATTTAGGGTAACAGATTATTAAAACTTTTATTGCAAAATTTATGAATATTCTATTTATTCCAAGTTATTTCAGGGATTTTAAAGCATTTAAAATTGAAATTTCTAATAATCAGAATCAAATCTTCTTTTAAACTTTGCTACAGTTCAGGTAATAATAATGATGACGTCTGTCATCACTTTTATTATACTGAAATTCAAAATCTACTTAGGGATCCAATCCACCTGTGCTTCTTCAGATATTTATTTTTTAGTTAGATTTTAATTTTTCCTTCAGGAGTTCAAGGTGACATATATTATTTTTTCCCCTGCAGCAATAACCATATGAGCTTGGTTGGGCTGAAAGACAAGCTGTTCTGATTGAAAGTGGATTTGAATCTGGGACTCATGTTCCCAGCCTAATATCTTAATCACTAGCCCACACTGGATCTCTGAAAAATTAGCCTGGTCAGTGTGTTGGTTCTTGGAACTTGTAATTGATCAACATCTGAAGAAACACAGTTTGCCATCCTTATGATATATTAGCATCATTGATGCACCAACTCAAATTTCAAATAAGGCTTCTAATGTAATTTTATTTTGCATTTCTTCTCAGTGGCATGGAATTCATTGTATCGTATAAAGCTGATCTGTTTATAAAATTATTTTTAATAAGTATGTTTAATATAGTAGTTCTCTTTCACAGATTTTACTGATATTTTATTAGGCTTTAGTTAATGAAAGCCAGGATGTTATTGGTCCCATTCAGTTGCTGCTGGAAAGAGAAAGCTGCTTTATAAGGGTAAGAAATAAACATTGCTTGCAATGTAACTTTCTGACTATTGAGAAAGACATAAAAATACCTGGACCAGTAGTCCATACCCATGACCGTCATGCAGGAAGAGAAGACCTTGTTTTTTGATTTTTGGAAATCTTATTGTGAAATAGCAATTTTCTATAAAAAGAAGGAATAAAAACATCAGTGTTAAGTCTCCTCCCTCCCCCCAATATTTATACTTTCTTGACAAAAATCACACAAATGAAAAAGTTTGTAAAAGTTTTTGTTCCTGGTTATTTAAAAAAAAAAATGTTACCAGCTTAAATTGTTAGTACTGAAGTGTCTTTTACATCTGATCCTTTACTTTTCAGCTATAAGTCTAATAACTTTTCCAGGGAATAGTGGTCTGTGATTAGTCATTATGGCTTGCAATGCTGATAGCTGTGAGGCGGGGATGTGAAACTGGTGGCCCACGGGCCAGATTTGTCAGGCTACACCCACCCCAGCTCTGCTAAGGGAAAAACATAGTGAAACATCACGTGACAGCAATGTGACGCCGCGAGTTTGACACCTGTGCTGTAAGGCATCACATCTGGAGGGTTTTAAATTGGGGAAGGATGATGTCGACTTTATAACTATTTATTTAATTTATTTTTATTTATTTATTATTCAATTTATATACCAGCCTACTCCCGAGAGACTCAGGGTGGTGAACAGCCAAGAGATAAAACACACAGAATTACAAAATTTAAAAACAGTATAAATAAAATAAATTTGGCCCAGAACAGATTAAAACAACCCTAAAATTTTAGACAAATTTAAAATTTACAATTAAAAAGGGAGGTTAGGCCAGGCCAGCCTGTTGGAATAAAAAGGTCTTGAGGGTGCAGCGGAAGGTGCGTAAATCCGGGATCCTCCATATCTCCGGGGGGAGCTCATTCCAGATAGCAGGTGCCCCCACAGAGAAGGCTCTTCCCCTGGGGGCCGCCAGTCAACACTGTTTGGCCGACGGCACCCTGAGGAGCCCCTCTCTATGAGAGCGTACTGGCCGGTGAGAGGCTACTGGTGGCAGCAGGCGGTCCCGTAAGTAGCCGGGTCCTAAGCCATGGAGCACTCTAAAGCTGGTAACCAAAACCTTGAAGCGCACCCGGAAGACCACCGGGAGTCAGTGCAGCTCGTGCAAGAGAGGTGTTACATGGGAACGCCACGTCGTTCCCATAACCACCCGCGCGGCCGCACTCTGCACCAGTTGGAGCCTCCAGGTGCTCCTCAAGGGGAGCCCCATGTAGAGAGCATTACTACTGGGTTATTATTTAGGTTAATTGAAGCTTGTGAGCTTGTTTTGAAAGGAAAAAAGGGGAAAATGGATGGATAAAAATTGGATGAAAATAATAAAAAAAGATGGGTACTGTAGTTATCCACGTCTCCCTCCTTGCCCCAGTGCCAAAATACCCTCTTTACTGTTAGTCAAGGACATTTTTCTCCCAACAGAATCTCCTCAGTTCCTACCTACTTCTGAGTCAGGGTAAAAGTGGATCAAAGTAATGCAGCGGTAAAGTGGGGTTTTCCATTGGAAAATAATACAATGCAAACATCCTGATTCTTATGGAGGAGGATCCAGAAAGAAGTTGGTGATCTTCAAGGTTTATGCAGGACTTCCCCCTCCAGCTACAGTAGGCATGGGGCTTGCCATTTCTCTGGTTGGTGTATTGATATTAGAGAAAACAAAATTTGCCTGAAAACCAAAAGGAATGTTTTGTCCAGAAAATACCAATTTCATAGAAGAAGTTGCATGAGGTTTATATTCCTATTTGTATCCAAAAGAAGTTAACCTCATTGTTCGCCCTAATTCTGGGGCCCACATTTGTATCGTTATCAATGTGCAACAGTACTGTAGTCACTTCTCCAAACAGTTTCTCTAATCCATGAAGGAAAACACATCACTAGTGGTGAGGGGAAAAGCCCAATTTCATGTTTAAGATCTATCATAAAATTGATATATTCTTATGATACTTTTATCTAGGAAAGCCATCTATCTGCATTGTCCTCTCTGTATTATTTAATTATTTGCATCCTGCCTTTATTATTTTTTTTCAAATAACTTAAGGCAGTGAACATATCTGATACCTTTCCTCCACCTGTTTTCTACACAACAACAGCCCTATGAGTTGAGTTAGTAAGAGAGTGACTGGCCCAAGGTTACCTAGTTGGCTTTCATAGCTGCTTTCTCCTGCTTTCTTGTCTGGTGCCTTAACAATAGATTATTTTTTTATTTATTATTTTTATTAATTTCCTTTGGGATAGATTAATCTTAGCTTTTCCAAATTTGCCTTGACATAGCTAATAGTGGTCATGTAAGGCTTTAGTATTAGAGATCCTGCGAGCTAGTTTGCTGTAGTGATTAAAAATTCCAAGCTAGAAACCAGGAGACTGTGAGTTCTAGTTCTGCCTTAGGCACAAAGCCAGCTGGGTGACCTTGGCCCAGTCACTTTTTCTCAGCCTTGGGAAGGAAACATGGTCAAATCACTTTTGAAACACCTTGCCAAGATAACTGCAGAGACCTATCCAGACAGTCTTCAAAAATTGGACATGATTGAACAAAGTAAAAAAGATACTACTGTGTTTCCCTGGAAATAAGACCATCTTATATTTTTTTGAACCCTGAAATAAGCGCTTGGCCTTATTTTCGGAGAGGTCGTATTATTTTGGGGCGCATGGAGCAAGATGGGGCTACTCTTGCCATCTTACCTGATTTCCAACTCTGCGTTTAAATATTTTCGGGGAGGGCTTATTTTCGGACGGAGGCTTATTTTAGTGCATGCGCTCAAAAGCCCGATTGGGCTTATTATCAGGGAATGTCTTATTTTTGGGGAAACAGGGTACATATTTCAAGTTTGATTTCACATTCAAACTATTAAAAAAATATGAAATGAGTTGTGGTTCTAGAGCTGTAGCCAGGAAATACAATGCATAATTTTGAGAAATATTAAATACAGGAGTGGGAAATCTGTAGCCCTGCAGGTATTGCTGAAATACAACTCCCAGGAACAACACCTTAACATGCCAACAATACCTGTAGGGTTACAGATTACCTATTTCAAATAGCCCCAAGAATAATCTCATATTTATTTGATCTGTTTTCAATTATGACAAATGGCAACCTTATCTAAAGAAAAAAAAGATTAGAAAAGTTGTATATCAACAGCCATTAACACTAAATATAAATAGAGCTTTGACTGATAACCTGTATGTTTTATATCCCTTAAATAGTTTAATATTCTAGTCTTTCTTGTCAAGGTAAATATAACACAATTTTAGTTAAGAAGACTCAGGCCTGTATTTGGCTGCTATACAGTATATATATTTAAAAAGTCCAACAGATAAATTATATATCTGTACCAAGTAAGATGTATACTATATATTCAAGTATCACATAATTGGTTTCCTGTAGCAATCACATGAAATTGCAGTGGCTTGTAGGCACTAGTGATACATATTTTATATAAGCAAGTGTTGTCTTTGGAGGAATGTTATAATGTGTTAAATATTTATTAATTACTAGTGTTTCTTAATTTCTATGAATTATTTATACTGTCAGATTTGTTTTAAAAGTTCATTATTTATTCTACCTTTGTTAATAATAGTTTCTCTGTTAATTAGGAAGTAGACAGGTATTTGAAGCACAATGATTTCTTAGCTCTAAGGAGAAGGGAAATGCTGTACAAGAAATGGTTTGAAAGTGTTTCAAGACCTCTGCTTCAGAAAATTCAGGACAAAGTTGACAACCAGTCAAGCAAAGAAATAGAAGAGAGGAAGCGAAAACAGCTCTCCCTTTATCTAAACTATTGTAATGAGAAGGTATCGGAAAAGAAAAGCTATTATTACTACAAGACATTGGGAAGCTGTTTGCAAAATTATTGGATTTGTGATTTTGGATGAAAACTGAAATTATTTGTAGCTCTTTATAGAAGTTATAATTATTTTAATAGTAATATCTGAAGGAAATGTGTTGTTTATTGTGCCAGTTTAAAATAACACGATTAGAATTTATTTTATTTTTTAAATTTCAGTAGATATAGCAGTGGTAGCAAACCTTTTTGGCCTTGGTGTCAAAATTGGGAAAATACCTAACTTGACTTTTTTGGTGTGTCGATCAAAAACAAACAATTCTCTATCCCCCCCCACCCCCCTATCTAGGCCACACTCAACAGTGGCACTCAGCATTGAGGCTGGGAAGCAGAAGTCCAGGCCTCACATTCAGCCCTAATGAGAATCCAGATTGTTGGGGACAATATGCTGACTTCTGTAAACCACTTAGAGAGGGCTGTAAAGCACTATGAAGCGGTATATAAGTCTAAGTGCTAATGCTAATGCCACTGCTGTCACTCAAAAAAGCTGCCTTGCGCCATTCCCCAAGGACATAAGCCTTAGCATAATTGCCCCCACTATGCAGCACTCCCCAGGATCTGCTGCATGGCACTTATCTTCAAGTGGTGCTCTCTTTCTGTTGAGAGGCCCCTGCAGACTACCGGCTTCAGGTTGCACAAGGCCTTCATTCTTGAAGCAACTTTGGAGAATGCTCTTCCATGGACTTTATAGCCTTCGGAAACTGTAAAAACACATCTCATTCTCATGCAATTTTCAGAGGCTCTGGGGGCTGTATGTCCCGCAGCCCTTTTGTACGACTTCTGGAGGGTTCAGAAGCCATGTGAGAGCTTTTGACACACATGTTGTAGATTAGCTATCACTGAAATGGATCTAGGACAACTCGGCATGGCCAGCTCACCACTGCCAAGTTGCCTTTCCCAACTCACCGCCACCAAGTCGCCACAGGATAACTAAACATGGCCAACTAACTACAGGGACAACTTGCTGCAGGTGAACAGAGGGAGAGCCAGGTTGGCAGGTGAGCAACCGGGTGAACAGAGCAACAGTGGCGGCTGGATTTTTTTACACACCCCACTGCCTCTGCCATCGCACTGAGCTCCAGGCCAAAGAGGTTGGGGACAGCAGTGGCAGCAGGGTGTGTGTGAAAATGAGATGCCCTGGGCTGCCACTGCCTCCCCGCCGCCTACCCTGCCCATCACTGCCACTGCCATCCCTGATCTCTGGTCCAGAGTGCAGCAGCAGAGCTGGTGGGGTATGAAAATGGGAAACACCTGGCCATTGCTTTGTGCTCTGCCCACCTGCTCGCTCACCTGCTAACCTGGCTCTCCCTCCATCCACCTGCAGCAAGTTGTCCCCGTGACGAGTTGGCTATGTGGAATTGTCCTGGGGCAACTTGGCAGTGGTGAGCTGGCTGTGCTGAGTTGTCCTAGACCCATTTCAGTGATGGCTAATCTATAACACGTACTTTTCCTCCAGCTGACAACAGCGAGGTGGCCCTGTGCAGCTGTCCTTTGGTGATGGTGGCAGTGAGTTGGAAGAGGTGACTTGGTAGTGGTCAGATGGTCTCTCCGAGCAAGCCGTATTCCACACTGAAACAGAGTAACTTGTTGCATGTTTAAAGTGAGGCAGAGATCATTGGAAATAGATGAAATGAAGCCTGCGCAGAGAGTGTCATTGTATATAATATATTCTGAGAATTCACTGAGCTCTGGTGATGCCTTCATGTAAAAAACCTTCAGCATTACCTGGGTTGAATAGTCAAATATAGGATTTCAACTAATCAAAAGCATGTTTTCTTGTGAACAGAAGATGATTTTATTTTATTTTATCACTTAGAGTGAAACACGGTGCCTATGTGCAGGAATATAACAATGCAGACAGTAAAGTTTGGCACCCTGTCCTCATCTCTGATTTATTTTGGTACTATAATGATGAAGATCCTGGCCCTTAATAGTTGCTTATTTGCATGCACTGGCATTTGCTGCACTTCAGGGTGAGCCTGGGACTCTCTGCTATGTTTGCTTTTTCTGTAGATGGGTGGAAAGTAAAATGCAGAAGGGAAAATTATATTTTTTCCTCTATAAGATCTGTTTTAGAGAAAAAAATAATTACTTCCTCTGATATATATTTTAATGTATTTAGCCAAATGTATTTAACCAAATTATTAATTTCCTTTTGGATTCATCAAGATGAATGGTTGATTTTTTTTCTTGAAATATTTGAATCTGTGCCAAAGACTTTATATGCCAAGGAACGAAAATATAGTGGCAAGATTAATGTGAAAGCAGCATCTAAGGTATGTGTGAAAAGAAGACAATCTGCCTGCTTGTAAGAAAAGACAAGGGAGCATAACTCACGGAGCAAACCAAGCAGGATTCTTCACTCTAATCTACAACATCAGTGAAGTGCATGGAACTCATAACTGCAGAATGGGAAAAAAAGACCAGTTATAAGACTTGAACCAGCAGATATAGAAAGTTGAATTTAAATTGCCCTCATGGATTCATTGCACAACTTTGAACATATAGTACAGGTAATCCTCAATTTACAACCATTCATTTAGTGACAGTTCGAAGTTATAGTGGCATAGAAAAAAATGACTTATGACTGTTTTTCACACTTCTGACCTTTGCATCATCCCCATGGTCATGTGATCAAAAAATTCGGATGCTTGGAATGTATTTATGGTGGTTGCAGGTAATACCTGATTACCTTTGGCAACCTTCTAATGAGTCAAGTCAATGGGGAAGCCAGATTCTCTTAATAACTGGAGTGATACACTTAGCACTAGTGTACAGCAAGAAAGGCTGAAAAATGGAGCAAAACTCACTTAACAACTGCCTTGCTTAGCAACAGAAATTTTGGGCTCATTGTGGTCATAATTTGGGGATTACCTATATAATCTCAGAAAGTCAAAACTAGTCAGGTTATTTTACTTACTGCAGATTTTTCAATTGGAGGACTGACATCAATCAGTTTTTGAGCCTCATAATAAGATTCCCAGGGTCTGACCTGGGGGAGTAGAAACTCCTCACTACAATCAACATAAGTAACCCTAGTTATTTCTATTCTTGGTTTATTTTGCTTCACTCTGCAAAATCGTCTTCCATTCCCTCAGTCATGATAATTACTGAAAAGTCACATATATACAAATGTGTAAGTGTGTGTGTACAATTGGCTAATCTCCATTTATGTATGCAGTATATATAAATGCAAGCCACATATTAGACTTCTGTTTTATTTGGGCTCCTGATTTGCTATATTGCCCAGAAATGTTTGGATAAATTTCTCTTTCTATCCATTTACGTACAGTCTTGGAGGCAATATCAATGAGTAATCCTCAAAAGGCAAAAATAGAGATTTGCAAGTATGAAAAATAAGATTTATAATAAATGATTAGAAAGTGTGTGCCATTTCTATATGTGTGCATCATAATTAACAAGTGATTGGATTTGTATATAAAACCATTCTGTTATTTTAAAGTTTATTATTTCAGTCCACTTAACTGCCTTTGGCAGTAAGAAAGAATGAAACTTGTCCTTGACTTTCTACTGTTATTTAGTATATTTTAACATTCTGTGTTTTTCTGCTCATATATTTGTTTTCTGCTTTCCTTGTATTTTTCCTTCTACTAGGCTTCTTCTGCTCCAGGATCCTCCGTTTCATTATGTGTGCTCCTTCCTCCATTTCATCCACTTTTTGAGTCCCAGAGTCCTCCCTACAGTTCCTATTTCCCCTCTTTTCTTCCTCCATTTCCCTTCTCTCTCCTTTCCGTCTCCCCATCTGCCTCCCCTCCAATTATCGTTCTCCCCTCAGTCTTACTTCCTCCATCTGTTCCATCTCATTTCTTTCATTTACTTCCTCCATTTCCCCCTTACCTCCATTCACCTTCTATTTTTTTCCCTTCACCTTTCCTACAGCTGTCCCCCACAGAACTGGTCAGTTCCCCAAATGCTTTGTCATCTGTCCCAAAATCTGCAGTTCCCCCTACCTCATCTCCTGTCCTTCAATCATCTGCTCCTTCAGCCATGGATAGCTCTTTGGCCTTACAAAATCCTCCAGATTCCGAACCAAAATATGGTTATGACTTCAGTGCTTATCATTCCCATAACCCTTTCTTCCTCCCTGTACTTCCGCCTATCCAGTCTCAGAGGAGGTATCAAGCCCGGCAGAAGAATAGCGACAGTGTTAAATATCCCTGAAGACAGAAGATGCTTTGCGTTTCTTCAGTGCTCTGGCCCATAAATAAAAGCCAGTTTTCTACGGTAGTCCAGATTCAAATGTTTATGGTGGTGATGCTTCATAAATGTTCATTGAAAATGACTGATGACTTAAGAGACTCAGGATTCACTGCCAATTGTATTTTAAGCACCATGGAGTGAAGAAAAAAAAGAACCAAGAGATTGTGTAATTACGGATTTTATGTATTGTCTGCCCACATGATATTGTTATTTCCCTTAAAGTTTGTAAGGCTGTGAACTCTGAAGCAGGAATATATGCTATAATTTTTGTTTAGTGGGATATAGTTCTTGTAAATCTATATAAGGCATAACATAAAAATCTTATCTGGGATTATTTATTAATGATATCCAGCTGTATGGGAAATTTCATCACTGTCAATGGATTTGGCTTCAAGGTCATTTATAATATATATATATATTATATCTATAATTATATCTATCCTATTATATGTATAATAGAAAAAAAATTGTGAGGCTGCCCCGTTTTTGTAATGGAGAATGCTAGCCCATCCCTAGAAGTGCAGTTTGCATGGCTCCTTAGTTCAGTTATTGAAATATGTCTTACAAATGAACTTAGAACAAATAAAAATTCATTTGAAATGAAGTCTACATCTCATTCTAAAAACTAAACCATCATTCCCCAATTTACGTGTTTTATTTAAATTTATTTTAAAAGCTTGCTTAGTCATGGTAACTTTCTTTTTCAGAAAAAAAAGTTAAGTTTTGCCTTATTAGTATCAGAACTATGGCATATATGAAGAGAATGATTAAACATTTCCTTCACATTTTTTTATCTGCTGAAAATATCCCTAAACAAACATATACATTTTGTTTTTCTTTGAAATGATCATTTTCTGCAGTGTGGCAGGAAGAAAGGATGGAGAGGAAATAGTTAACCTCCCTCCCTCCCTCCCTGTTGGTCCCCATACACATGAATAGAAGAATAGAATAGAATAGAATAGAATAGAATAGAATAGAATAGAATAGAATAGAATAGAATAGAAGAAAAGAAAAGAAAAGAAAAAAGAAAAAAGAATAGAATTTTTTTATTGGCCAAGTGTGATTGGACACAAGCTCCTTTTTCAGGAGGGGAAAGGTCTGTAGTTACGAAAATAAAGGTGTCTAAAATTATGCTTTGTGGAAAGTGTAATTTGGTCCTTTCTGTCTCAAATAACTAAAATTTCTTCAAAAAAGATCCATTAATTTATAGGTAAAGGGCAATTGCCCTCTGAAAATGTCAACCTCGGTAATGCTGAAAAGATGTTGGGGCTTCATTTAATAGAGTTTGTGTAGTAACTGAAACACTTGGTTTTTGAATGGCTTGAATGAATCCCCTTTCCAATAAAATGGATAAAAATATCCTGATTCAGTGTTGTTGATTCACACTGCTGATAAAAATAAACTCATTTTATTGTATGGTATGAAAAGATGTTTCGTAAGATGTTATGGAAATTGGGACTATAAGAGTAATTTGTGAAGATACTTGTAATAGATGTTATTTAAGCTATCAAACAGGAAATACTAATTCTCTACTCTGAAGTAATATGTGATGGCCACAGGTTCACCGAGTGCTCTTTCTACTCACTCAGGGAGGTGCATTTTTAGAAAGTTATAGTCCGTCATCTTATGATCCTTTCTTCCTGAAGACTACTCCAGACTTGTGGAAGGTGAGAGAGGCTGTGCATTCCCGTTTTCCTGATGAGCTCCTGTTGACTTCTTTTTCTTAGCCTTCTGGACTGGACTTGTGAAGGACAGGCTTGGGTTAGAGATTTTAAAAGAAGAGGTGGAAAATACCTCACAGATGAATGGGTAGTTCTGGAATTGGCCTCCTGGCTACCAAAATTTAAATAAGGACACATCATTGCAGAGCTGGTCTTGCCTTTCCTGTGAAGATTCTCACCTTTCCCCCTTCCCGCATTTAGAGCATATGCAGTTCTTGTAGTTCCCAGTTTCCGGCTGCTTGAATAGAATGGACTTGTAATTTCTAAGAGCATAGGAGGGAAGAACTATGAAGACAAAGACAGTATTTTACACACTTGAAATGTTTATTGCTTGTAACTGCTGGAGTATAATTTACATAATTTACATGGTTTTACAGAGCAATTAGAGAATAGCACATCACACAATTAGTTTCATCTTGTTTGCCTCTCTTTGTGTAAGCCTTTTAAGCAATGGTGAAAAGAGAGTGATAAAATATTCAAGGTTTCCTAGAGTAAGAATATGTGCACAAGTTCTTCATAGAATGATTATCCTAATGCTCACATCAAAGATAAAAGATGCATTGGTGTAGTTACTCCTATATTATAGATTAGGGAATGAAATTAGAAAATGTTGGCTTGCTGAATGTTTCTGGTTGAGCTGAAGATGGAGCAAGCAATCAGAGGGTTTATCTAGTACCTGACTCAGCTGCATTGGCCAGAAACCAGATCTTTTTCAGGGAGCCTTTTATTTGGCAGTGCATAAGAAAAAAGAAGGGGCCAACTTTACCTTCAACCTTAATCTTTACTGGGCAGTTGGGTCTAGCTAAAAAGAATCTAAAGTTGAATTGTGGGATGGAGGAATTGGCTAGGCCCAAGAATAGGAGGACAAGTTCAGTATCTATACTTCAACACCAGTTATGAACAAAGTATGTTTAGTATCTTCTTGCAGGGTGACATGATTGCACTTTTCTTTCAAGGTTCAGTGTTCAGGCTTCTAAATGTTCCTTGATGCATATAGCAACTGAACTACAGGTAGTCCTCAACTTACAGACAGTTCATTTAGTGACCATTCAAAGTTACGATGGCACTGAAAAAAGGGACTTATGACTGCCTTTTACACTTATGACCATTGCGTTATTCCCATGGTCACGTGATCAAAATTCAGACACTTGGCAACTGACTCTCATTTATGACAGTTGCAATGTCCAAGGGTCATGTCATCACCATTTGTGACCTTCTGACAAGCAGAGTTAATGAGGAAGCCAGATTCACTTTACAACCATGTTACTGACTTAACAATTGCAGTGATTCATTTAGCAACTGTGGCAAGAAAAGTTGTAAAGATTGTAAAATAGGGCAAAACTGACTTAACTGTCTTGGCAATAGAAATTTTGGGCTCAACTGTGGTCATAAGTCAAGGACTACCTGGTTAGGTTTGACTGATGTCATGAAGTATTGAAATATAAATAGCTGTTTTTTTCTCTCTAGGCATCAGTTCCTCCTTTACATGACCCCTTGTTAAAGGAAATAGAAGGAAGATACATTGAAGCCAGCATTATGCAGCAGTGTGAAACAGGTTCTGTAATATTTCTGTTTGCTTCTGATAATCTTCAGGTTTAATGTCTGAGACTTTAGAGATCCTAGACCAGATTGTTGAATTATTATTCTGTCTTTCACTTTTGCATTAATCTTAAAATAGTATGACCAATTTGAAAATACTAGAAATCGTTTCCACAGTGTGATATATTCATCAAATGGTATGTCTGTAATTTAGGGGTGGGGTGGGGAGATTGGATTTGTCTCAATATTGTAAAGATTTTTTTTCATCAGAAAGCTTGCCTAATGAGGAGGAAAAAGCCTTTCTTCTATATGCTTTGCAACTTTCTACAGGAAAATTATATTCCTCTAAAGATATTCATGAACTACATAAGACTGAGTTACCACCACTTCCTTTAAGTCGGCAGCTTATGAACCCCGCAGAGTGGCTGAAAATCCCATTCCAGTATATGGAAAGTGATGTCCGTAAAAAAAGCCGGTAAAGTTTGACAAAGTTTTACATTTAAAAGTTTACATTTAAAATTCATTTTCTGTTGAACAGCAATACTATATGATTATGAAGCTCTGTTTTCACTACAGAGGCACTGCGGGCCTGTCTTTCACTGTTTCCAGGGCAACCCCGTGGGCCAGATCTAAGCACCCCACGGGCCAGATCTGGCCCGCGGGCCTTGAGTTTGACACCCCTGAAATAATAGAATCTCTTCTTGTGATGAGGCTCAGTTTTTGTTCTTCCAAATGTTGCTTCTAGTTTCACTTTGTCAGAACTGAATGTAGTTCTCTGTGGTAGGCTGTATAGCCACGTGTGTCTGCAGTTAGCCACAAAACAATCAAGATGACATTTGTTCTTTAATACTTGTACTTCACCACACAAGGTCAAAAGGGTTTATTGATTGTTGAGATGCATATTTTATTTCTTCTCTGTGACTTCCCCACCCCATGGATGGATGAGTACATATTTTAAGGGGAGGAGTCTTGGGAGTCATATGTCTGCTTGGTTCCTTCTAGGAATATATGACATATGTCCCATTTTGTTTTAAATTACATGTGTCATTTAAAACAAACACACTAACAAAAGAATGCCCATTTAATCAGTCCCTTTAGTGTAGATGCTATTTCCTGTTTGGAAATGAGTAGTCATTTGAAAATACATAATATGATGGCTTATAAGACAGTTGAAGATTATTATAAAAACACTTCTAGTTATACTTGGTGTTTGGTGAATTTAACAGAATAACTAAGTTGGAAGGGACCTTGGAGGCATTCTAATCCAACCCCCTTCTCAAGCAGGATACCCTATATACCATTCCAGACAAATGGCTGCCCATTCTCTTCTTAAAAACCTCCAGTGATGGAGCACTCATAACTTCTGAAGGCAAGCTGTTCCACTGGTTAATTCTCACTGTCAAGAAATTTCTCCTTACTTCTAGGTTGGATCTCTCCTTGATAAGCTTCGATCCATTTACTCCTTGTCTTGCCCTCAGGTGCTTTGGAGAATAGGTCAATCCCCTCTTCTGCATGACAGCCCCTCAGATATTGGAACACTGCTATCATGTCACCTCTAGTTTTTCTCTTCATTAGGCTACACATACCCAGTTCCTGCAACTTTATTGAAGCTTGAAAATTTGCTTACAAAATTTGTTTGGAAATTTGTTGAAGTTTGTGCATTTAATAGATACATGGTAAACTGAAATTCTTATTACTGTTATCTACACACTAACAGTCTCACAATATGAGACTTCTTTGTGTTCAACACAGGCTTCTCAACCTTGGTAGTTCTGAGATCAACTGGGAGCCAAAGTTCTCATATCTCCAAGTTGCTAAAGTTGTGAAAAACTGATTTAACACAATTGCCATTTTAGTTTGTCTCCTATATAGGCTGTTTTGTGGTCTATGAACGCATAAAGTGGGAGGCCTACTCAGCCTAGATTATGCTTTAAATCAAGTCATGTTTTTGTCTTGTCCTAAAATAGGGACTTTTGCTGTTAGTAATTTGAATGAGAAATCCTGTTAGAAGTTCATTGAAAACTGTTAAGGAAAATTGAAAAATCAGCCTGAAGTGTTAAATCACATCCTTAGATACAAGGCTAGTTTTTATTTTATTTTTTTTAAAAAAACCATACCTGTGACTTTTGAGGAACAGTTGTGAAGTTTTCCTCCCAAATAAGATAAGTGAGGAGAAAGTAAATTCAGATTTGCCAGAAAAACAATTATATGAAACTGCAGAGGGAAGGAAAAATTTATCCAAGCCAGGATGAAGTGGTTTCTTGGAGGAGGAATATAATGAATCAACAGTGAAAATACTAAAAATCTCTGTGTTGCACAGAGTAGAACTGAGAATATTGTGTGCAGGACAGTATGCCAAATAATGACATTGGTGTATTAGTAATAAAGAATTGATAAAAATTCCAAAAAAATTTTTTAGATAACAATACTAAACAGTAACCACATGTATGAAGTTCTTAAACCAGACAAATGCTTTCTTTTCATTAGTCCCAGATTAATCCTTTTGTCCAATCTATTTTCATATAAAAGTATATCAATGTTACTAATTTTCCCTTGAAGAAGTCTGTGGGATAGACATCTGTAGCTGCTTTTTCCGCATTTAGACAATGTATTGTTTGTCATAAAGAACTCTTGATTGTTTCAGAAGGGATCAAAATATATTCTCTAAAAAGTTATGCGATGCTGTATTTTGATGCAAAAATGGTAGATTGTGATGGGTAACCACTGTGGGCAAATTGCTGTCTTTTATTACTTTGAAGATTGTTAGGGGCAGCTCAGTATAAAATGTATCTCTTTTATTTCATTTTTTCTAGTTGTATATCTGCCGCTTCTTATTTGTGACTTTGGACAGTTCATAGTTAAAAACAACCAAATACACTAACACAACCAATAAACAAGCACAGGAAAACAGTAAAAACACAGTAGCTAAATAAATACCTAATTGAAACCAATTCATAAAAAAGCAGGCAAATGCAAGTCTTTGATCACTAAGTATAACCATCAGGTCACATCAGATGAGTCTCCTTCATGGACAGGACATTTACCATACCCTTTCTGCTGGACCTGATAGGGGTGGTCCCTCTTCTCTAATAGAAGAAAACCATTCTTATACTCTCACTTGAGGCTTCTCCCAGTCTGTATTCAAGTATACATAAAGAAGATTATTCATATGTATCGGGCTGAGATTCTGATCTCCAATTTAAAACTGAATGAGTTATACTCTTCTTTAGTTCTTTAATTTTCACTTTCATTGGTTCAGGACTAGGCTGTGTGAGATAATTAGTGATTTGTAGCAAGATAACCTCTTCTGTGAAGTGGAATTCAGGATAGCACTTCTAGGGATCCTTCATTAAGGCCCATCTTCGTAAGAATTACAAATGGAATGATGAATGCAACTGACATTCTAACATATCACTAACCATCACTAAATAACCTCAATGTATTGAGGTTATTTAGCAAAATAACTAAATTTTCTTTTTACTGTTTTTCACATTGGTTACCCCCTTCCTTCCTTATTAAAGGTCAGTTTTAGAATAAAAGAAACCTCCTCATCTGATCCATTTAAAACACAATGGCTTTGCTTAAACAGTAAACATTCACAGTCTGACCTATATTTTGTAGGAACAATGGAATTAGGTAGGCAATGTAATTAGATCCAATAGTGACCTTGAAATTTCAGTTCCAGAAAACAAGAGGAATTGGCAGGAACAAATCCTTGTAATTTACCTCTAGGGAAGTGTGTGGTTCCTGTTCTTATTCTTTTTCTTTTTTGTAGGAAGACACATATGAGAGCTAGGAAAGGTAAAGAGCAAGAGAAAGCAAGAAAGAAGGAAATAAACTTTCTCCCTAGGGGCTCAACAACCAGGAAAGCCAGGAACCTGCTCTCCGGTTGAAAACAGGAAATGATCTGGGTCTAGCCCCAGGCCTTCTGCCAACATTATAACAGTCTGCCTGTTAAAGCCAAGGGGAGGAGACTTCCCACTGAAGATGACTTGTCCTGTCCCTCACAGAACGTAATTCCATGTTGCTTGTTCACTATGCATTTTATATTGTCCACAGCTCCACCATCATCAACAGTAACAAGTTTTGGTTTATGTATCACTGGAATCAAAAGGTAATGTTTGAAAATTGGCCACCTTTTTGAGTGTCAAGCAGCATCAGTGTAGCACAGCATACAATTGGTTCAACAGAGGTAAACACTGGTGCTTAGAATAACAGGCAGCATTAACCATCCTAATTTCATTCTGTTAAAAGGCAAAAAATGAGCACAACTAGAAACCAGAATACTATGGATTTCAAGAGCTGGGGTGACCCGTCCTGGCCTCCACTGAAGAAGAGATTCCCCTCTGTCAGGAAACCAGAGTTCACCCAAATGGCCAGTCTTTTGTCAAAACAAATATTTACCGGCTCATCAGTTTCGAAACCAAAAATAAAATTTGCTTCCTATTGATCTTTCTTTGAAACTGATTCCTCGTAAAGGGATAATGCCAAAATTTGGTGCATAAAAGTGTGATCCAATTACTTAGAAGGAATGATTAGAAGCTTATTTCCGCATCAGGGACTACTGAGAATAGTAAAACACAGGCTACAGGGATTTTATGCTTAAATGCTTAAACTTCTGATTGCATATTACTGCTTTCAAAAGTATTGCTAAGCAGCTGCTTCATATTTTCTTATAGGGGAAAATCACAGAACTTGCTACATAAGTATACTTCATTTCAGAATCTTAAGTGGAATACGGGGAGACAGTGCTTCAGATACAGAGATAAAAAGATGTTTTGAGGCACACAGGGATATGCTCTTAAAAGAAGCTGTGGTTTTTTTCTGCGAGTGTGTGTGCTTGCTGTAGCTGCTGGGAAAAATGCATCTGGCTTAAGAAGTTGCAATCAGATGCTAGGTGAGTGCTTTACATGCTCCAAAGCATCTTTTGGTCTTTAAATCCAAGACTCTGCTGACCCCATTTGAATTGTTCCAAAAGACTGAACAACAGACTTTCATAGATTTAGCATGAATATGGCTTTTGCTGTTTCCATAAGTTGTTTTCCTGTTCAGATACAAAGCAGATTTAACAGCCTGTCCACAAAGCAGCTAAAAAATATTCAACTACTTTCTAAATTTCTAAAGGCTCATTGACGGATTAGTGATTCTGCTCCTGGTGCAGTATAGACTTTTTACATATTTAAGGAATCTTCTTTGATAGAGTTAAGAGTTAATTCAGAGTTTATCTTTAAAGCTCAGAGCTGACATTTTCTTTCATAAAATCCTCCTCTATCACCAGAAATGATTTTTTTTTATCCCTTTAACTTACTGTCTTTTAACTTCATTTGATTCAGTTTTATGGTATTGTCTTTTTGGACAAGTACTGAAGTTGTAAAACCTAAATAATGCGCAGGAACAAAGATAGAATTAGTGTTGCAGCTTACAGGAAAATACATATTTTTTCAAATAAAAGCATTATTTTTCCAATTTTCAATTTCAGAGACTGAAGCGCAAGTAATTTCAAGCCAGTTGCCTAATCCTACATTGCTTCATGGTTGTGAACTGTTAAAATATACCTGATTTTAAAAAGTATAGTTTTCTTCTGCTAAACATAATCTCTTGAGGTAAAGTGAAGTTTCATTGCATAGCAGTAGGATTTGAGACCCAACTATTTGATGGCAAATAAAGTAATGTGCACGCTTGATGTTCAGGATACACATACGTGCACCATACACATTTGAGAAAAGTAGAAAAGAACCAGAAATGTATTGATGAATAAGGGTAGTTGTGTACTGTTAGCAGACAGATTACTTCTCCTGATGTGTTTTGGGAAGGAATGGCTGTTAGGGACAATTTAATGAAAATTTCTGCTTGGAATATCTTTTTAATATTGAAATTTTCTCTTTTTCTGTTGGCCTGAAGCATATCAGTTGCAAATAAAAAAGGAGGCAAAAATTCAAATGGTCTAAAATTGTGAGAAAATTATCTTTGTAGCACTCTGTAGAGCTATGTTTTGCTTTCTATGTACCGAAGAAATATACTTGTGTGTATGAGTACATAAATTTCAAGTTAAATTGTATCTCCTGACAGAACCACCAGAATTATTTCTTTTCAAATGTTTTAATTGTTTTAAATGTAATTGTTTTCTTATGGTATAAACTTGGAGGTTTTTTCCTCTTCAATGTATTGGAGTATTTAAACTGCAATTTGGCTTATGAAAAATTCAATAGTGCTTGTTTCTTTTCCACTTATAGACGTTTATACAATGTATTTAACTTCAATTTAACTTTTGGGAACATAGGTTTTTATTTCATATTAATAAAAATGCATTTCAGAAAACTGTTTCTCACTGCAATTCACTTAGCTATATGGAAAGGCAGCACTTAAGGCATATAACTTCACTCATTATTTTAAATTAAAAGTAATACATATATCTGAGATGCTTATTCAAAATACACATCTCTTGTTCAACCCTTACATTCTACAAAGAGGAACCAAACCTTCCCAATAAAGAGCATGGTTCAATTGCAGCACATTTGTAAACATTGCAAATAAATAAACACTAGCTGTGCTCAAGCTCTATTAGTAAAGCCATACCAGAGGAGTTTGGACAAACGCTTTTGACTTGAATATTGAATTCCATAAAATCCTATATAACAATTCCAGTAGTAAATGTAACTAGTTTTAAAACATTGATAATTTTGCACGATTTCTTTCCTAGATTCTTTCTTACTCATTTACATTCCAGAATACAATACAATTGGCTTAGAAAAAGCAATATGCCACATATTAATATGTAGAGAAATTATAGTATATTCACCAGCTTATTTTATTTATTATAGAGCCCAAGGTAACATTAACTTCCTCCTCCTTGGAATCTTTGACTAGGACATGTTTTAGCTGCATGTTTTATTGAGATCTGCAAGAAACTCCACTTTTCAAAACATTATTAGGCCATGTGAATCATTTGGAGGCGCTCTCTGAAGCCATGGCTTGAGTACCAGTGTGGCTTGGCATGGCTGCTTCAAAGGCTGCTCCCTATTGTACAGTTTACTGGGATTGCTGCTGATGGGCCACCTTGAAGAGGATATGGTCTCCTGATGCCTTAAGCAGTGGCTTTAGAGAGTGGTTTGGTTGTTTGCTTCTGCAGATAAGTCAAATAGCCCGAGTCATTATGTCCCACATTATACAAAATTTATCTTATTTACCACCAAAAAACTTTGGTAAATTTGCAAAATTATTGAGAGAGAGATTTTATTTCCTTTTTACAACAGAAGCAAGTTTTTTAAAGGCTGCACTTTGTGTCAATATATAATTTTGAAAGGATTCTGAAGTGCTGAAACTTCTTCCACAATTATATCCTGAGATAACCTGAGATAAGGGTCAATCAGACTCCATTTTTTGAACCTGGGGAATGATTTTAGCCCAGAACTAAAATATCCTATGGTTCATTGAAATCTAAGTGGAGATATTTCAAACATTTTAAATTGCCAGATTCCTTGGTAACGCTTTAAAGGAATCTGAAATAAACACTGGCATTTGCTTTAAAAATATTTACTTTCAATAAAGAAAGGCACTGTCTTATATTATCTCATATACAGTATATTGCATAGATTGCCACCAACATAGGAGTGCAAAGCACAGAGCTAAATAATATATACCAGGAGAAATAATGTCCGTGTGACCAGACAAAATGATTTTGCAGCAGTATATATACACCACTTGTAAAACATGCCAGTAAGAGCAGTTCAATGATCTATGCTGGTCCTGGCTGTTATAAATAAAACATATTTTTTCTTTTTAAACAAGTGTTTTCTGGTCAAATAACTGTAAATCAAAGCGTACCCAAACTTCCCCTGTTGGTACTTCATGCAGTAGTAAACGTTTAGTTGTAGGTCCCTTGTTTTCTTGCTCTGTCCTGATTTTGGCTACAGGAACTTCAGTGCGACCCAAAAACTCTGCATAACAACAACAACATTCCTAAGTCAGATCACCAAATGGGAAACATAATCATGAATAGACAATGAAGAGAGATCTTAGAGAAATAAAGAAAATTAAGCATTATCACAGCATATTCTGGACAATCGAAATCAGTAGGGATCTTGCAATGTTTTGAATCTATGCTTCTGTTTTCTATTCACTAGAATTAGAAGGAAATTTTAAATATTTGAAAAACAGAATTCCACACATACCATCCGGTGAAAACTGATCCCTGTCAAACATGGTGATACACAATACATCTTGATAAAGGTCTTTGATGAAGAATTGACAGTTAAAGTTCCATTTGGGATTCAAGGTATCTGACAGTGTCCTGGTAGTGTAGCTTTGAGATCCCATGCTAACTTCGCAATATGGATTGCTTTTTCCTTAATTCAAAACAGAAGTGCATTTCTTTATTTATATGTTAAATTTATATGCTACTCATCTCACTCTGTAAAACAACTCTGCGGATTACAATTAAAATAATAAATATTAAGAACCTTAAATACGGAAATAAAAACCAAAGGCAAGATTGGTATATTGGTGGCATCATACAGGTAGTCCTTGACTTATAACAGTTTATTTAATGACTGTTCAAAGTGTAATGAATGGCACTGAAAAAAGTGACATGACCATTTTTCATACTTACGACCATTGCAGCATCCTCATGGTCAGGTTGATCAAAATTCAAAGTTACTTAACAACTAATTCGCTTAACAACAGAAATTTTGGGCTCAACTGTGGTTGTAAGTCGAGGACTACTTGTTCTTATTAGTCCACCTGCCTCCTCCAACACAGAGCACCAAGCCAACTGGCACAGCCAGGTTTTAACACCTTCCAGAAGGCCAAAAGGGTGCATTCACAACAGTTTCTCCAAAGAATAACTTCATGGTTTTAATATCTGGTTATAAATGTCTGCAATTATCTTCAGCATGTTTGTTTATTTAATTTATATCCCACCTTTATTATTCATATATTCCCCATTACTATACAGGTAAAAAGATCTCCCCTGCAAGGCCCCATATTATATTTTGGAACAGCAAATCCCCCCTCAATTAGTTTAAACTATTTGGCCAGATAGTTGACAATCCATCCCTGAATTATTACCATTAGGTTTACAGGCTTTTAATTCTGTTGCTTCAATCACATGTACCATCAAGCGTCCTATTCCTGAGCTTTTTTGTGATCGAGCTGAAAAAGAAAGAAAAATGATATGTGAAAAAAAAATTCAGAACATGCTATCTATTGGCAGGTTTGCACAAAAGCTATTTCTGCAGTTTGCAAGTTGA